AGGGCACTGTGAGGAAGGTAGGCTCTGCCCCCTCCCTCTCTGCAGCTAGCTGCTCCAGCCCGTGAGCCAGCTGCCTTCTCTTCTGGGGCCACATCAGCCACCGGTGGCCGAAACGTGTAAATGCAGTTTCCCTTCACCGCCCCATCAGAATCAATTATTCTGTAGGGGAAAAAATCTGTGGGGGACATTAATTCTGCATTTGCGCAGTAATCCCCCAGGAGTACTAGTTGCTCTCTCCTCTCTGCAGACCCAATACACTAGTCACTCCCACAGGCAGAATATTCTCAGTGAGAGACAGGGACAAGTAGAGGATAAGAAGTTGCAGAGTGCATAAAGTAATGGCCTCATTTATAGAAACTCCCCTTCACCCAAGCTGCTATACAACTTTGGGGATGCTCATTGGTGTTGATCTGTCCCACAGTTAGGTCAACCTGGTGCACAGCCAATACCTACATCCTTCCAAAGCTCAAAAAGATGGATAACCTCTACTAAAGAGAATCCACAATAAGCAACTGCCATCCCCACACCGCCAGCTTCAAGATAAGTCGTTGTTACTGTTCAGTTGAACAGTTAGGCTTACCACATGAAAACATAGAAGCAGCCTTGCCAACCAAATGTTGAATGAGAAAATCTGAAAACCCAGACATATGCTCTTTCAAATCTCACAAGCCAACACATTTGAATTAAATAAGAAATTAAACAAGAAAATACCTTGGAGACAGTCACCCTGGAGCCCTGATGCAATAGCCAGATTCTCCATATGAAAATGATTTTATTTATAGATGTAATCTAAGGCTTTAAAATCTTGAATTAGCTCAGAAATTGAAAATAAATACTGTGCTGTACAGCCAATAAAAACCTAAACCCTTTTTAGATTTTGGGTTTGAAATAATGACTCTGAAGACAAGACATACAAGACTGTAAAAAAGATCACTTGCCTCTTTTCCAGATTTAATTATAAGAATCCCTAAATAAACAGGATGGAAGTTACTTGAATTTTACTCTTCTCTGAACAGACTCAATCCCTCTTACCTTCTTCCCAAATCCAAGGTCATTTTGGCCAGGTTTCAGCACTGCCTATACTACAGTTTAATCAGCATTACGCAAAACCTTATTCAACACAGTTCTTGATAGGTAGGTAGAAAGAGTCCACCTACCGCTATAGATATATCTGTGTTGGGACAGGGTTGCAATGGAACTGTCCCCCTTTGTCATGGTTAAAACACAGCTCAGTCTTGCAGCGGAGACAGGACAGAATCATGACATATCTAAAGTTCTAGCACAGTTCAGGGACATGGTCAAAACATAGTTAGAGCCTATCTGTAAGACCAAACTATATTTTACTATGTAGGAGAACTGTCTTGTGACTTGGTCCCCCAACACACCTGTATTTGTACTGCAGATGGGCTCTAATGAGAAGAGCATAGACAAGTGCCTAACCATGCTATAAGCACAATTTTGTGAAATATTTTATAACATGATTAGGCCCTACCTACAATGGTCTAGGAAACACTGCTAGCCTCTTGCTAGCAAGATCCATTATTCAATATGGTTCTGGCTAATGTGCTTCTAGTGCCAGTTTGACAGGGCCTTGCAGAGAGGGAGGAGGAATATGCAATAAATAATCATATTTTGCACTATTAGAGTACCTCATCATTGTATCTACAATAAGTTTATGGTACATACAATAGCATTATAACATCCTTGTGTGATAGATACTACTATATCCCTTTAGCAGATGGGGAAACTGAGGCATCAATAACAGAGCAGAGAATAGAGCCCAGGAGTATTAACATTCAATATGATGCTCTAATCACCTGAGTATCCTCAGAACAACTGAGTTTGAAGTCTAGCTAGGACTTTTGTCCTTACCTGTAACCTGTACCTTCAGGATCATCAGAGATGAGCAAAAAGTCCTGAAAGGCAGTCATAATTACAGCCTATCAATTTAAAAAAGAGAACTATTCAACTCAGTACCTATATCAGGAGCAAGGAGTGTCTCCCTTGTCTTGCCCAAACTCATTTAAGTTACAAATATCTGTCACGGGAATGGCTAAATCATTTCCAAAAACAAAAGGTATTCAGGCTGCAATGAAAGAGGCACCATCAACTCAAAAAAAAATCATGTTTCTGTCTGAAAAACTGCATAACTACTCTAGTTACACATAACGCCTAGATTACTAGAATTGAAAGAAGTTGATGAAATTTTTTTTCTCAAGTTTGTTTACTTTGTGCAGTTGACAATTAATTGTGTATAGTCAATTATATTTCCCCCCTTATATTCACTGTCTCTTTAGCTGAAAAGTCCCCTATCGACATCAACAAGGAAGCAGAAAACCCAAATTTTCTTAAAAAAAAAAAAATATATATATATATATATATATAAAAATGTCAGGAGATGGTATTTTAAGGATGTGTGATCAGAACTGGAGTGTTTAAAATGAGTAAATTTTAAAATAAAAAAAAATTCAAGCTGACAAAGTCCTTTAGGAAGACAAAGCACAGCTTCTCAGAAATTTCATTTTAAAACTGGGCCCTTGCATATAATCCTGTTCCTGTGATCTTTCATAAGGATTTTTAAGTATAAGAACAGTTTGGCCCATTGGAGTTTAGAAAGTCAGTGATCCACTATATAAACTAAAACCTAGGCCTTGATATAAGTAAATGGTTATAAATTAGCCTGTATATAATCCACCAATTATCTACATAGGTTTTCTTGACACATTAAAACCTGATAGCTCATAAATGGGCATTGCATTCTACAGTACAATCTGAAAGTCATGGCAGCAACAGTACTATCTACACAATTATGTTCTTGGAACTATTTATTTCCTAACATTTATTCTTTCTAGCCAATTCTTCATATATATCATTAGCTTCCTAATTGTGTTAATCTAAGAGTCCATTCTAGGCCACTGGGGACCATCTAGTACAGCCATAGTTAGGAAGATTTAAATGCATGTGATACTTTGGAAACTTTTCAGTTGCATTCTAAGCACTACCCTAACAAAAGGAAATTTGGCTCCACACTTATATACCATATACATAACACAGAGCATCTGATTGAAAACTATAGCAGCTTAGAAAATTAAGGCTAAAACTTGAATTAACACTCCATCCTCAGCTCACAACTTTTAAATTTTATTTCTTGGTAAGGGCATCAATTAATACTGGAATGTCATCGATACCCATTCTCCTTACTCTCATGGATTTAAGACAGGCCCCTTTAACATGCTTGAATATAATATTTTGTAGGTGATTGTGCTAACTCTTTGGATATCAACAAGCTATGTTGTAATAATAAAAATGAAAAGGGTCTGACATTTTAAAAAATAGTTACAATGAGCACAAGCAGCTCGACAGGACAGCAGGAAATCTGGAGCAGTCTGAATATTACAAACATAGACAAGGCCTGATCCCCTCCATGGCTGCACCAGATGAACCCAGACCTCAGACCATCAGCACCATAAAGTTCATCAAAAGCCAGGATAGAGCAGCAGATGACAGAACAAGGAGCAATGGTCTCAAGTTGCAGTGGGGGAGGTCTAGGTTGGATATTAGGAAAAACTATTTCACTAGGAGGGTGGTGAAGCACTGGAATGGGTTACCTAGGGAGGCGATGGAATCTCCATCCTTAGAGGTTTTTAAGGCCCGGCTTGACAAAGCCCTGGCTGGAATGATTTAGTTGGGGTTGATCCGGCTTTGCGCAGGGGGTTGGACTAGATGATTGCCTGAGGTCTCTTCCAACCCTAATCTTCTATGATTCGATGAGACCCCTGCTAATGAGCTAGTCACTGATTCAGAAAACCTATGATGATGCTTTTCCCAGAAGGATCAACATCTGTTAGCAGGGTGAATTGTTTCAGGTAAACACTTCCAGCCTGTTATGGGAGTGCACTGCTGGTAGAGAACATGACTGACCTTTGGTTAATGAATGTTATATGTAGCAGTGTGACACCTGTGGTATTCTTAACAACATGTCTGAGAACATACTGCACAATAGAGCACACATCCTAGTTTCTCTAGAGGAGCTGTGGAGTTCTGCTGCTCACTCTGTCTGTTCCACTGTTCCATAAATATCTGCCTAGATCACTTTTACTTTTACACTAAAGAAACCAGCATATGAATACGCTATTAAAGGGACAATGTCAGTTCCAGGATACGTTAACATGGGTCTTAACTGGAAGGAAGTGTCTTCTGGGACCCTAAACAGCTATATAAATATGTCCATAACTCATCTGCCGATGTCTTAACAATGATCAGGATCTTCTGTTTATTTGGGACCCAAACAAAAACAATGGACCATATTCTACTCTCAGCTACACCCGTGTAAAGCGGGAATAACACCACTGACCCTTCTTCTGATTTCACTTACACCACCGTAAGTCAAACGTAATTCAACAAAGTCAATGGAGTTACATTGGCATGCGATCAGGATAAATGAGAGAAGAATTAGTTGCAATGGAGTTCCAGTTGTACTTCAGTGTAACTGAGAGCAGAATAAAGCTCACTGTTTTGTGCTGTGCTGATAAATCATGTTGGGCTAAAATGCTTTGGGATAAAAAATGCTCACAGATCAAATTGGAGGGGAAAAAGTGGTGAAACTCTATTCAGGCTCTACCCACAAAGCCACAGGAGTGGGATGCTTCCTGATGGATGATCCATATTGATCAGTAGTGAAACAGTCATTTGTTAGGTTGGTAGACTGTATGAAATCTATATATAACTTTGAAATTGTTCCTCAACGTGGGTCTCCTGGCTAGCAGGACACAGAACTAGTCACTAGAAATGGAATACTACAACAATTTACATTTTGTTTTCACTGCTCATTACTCAAACCAAATTATTTTGCATGTGAAGAAACAGCAGGTAGAAAAACAATGGACTGCCCCCTTCTCATTCAGAAGTGCATTAGACATTTCCACTTCTTTTGTCTCTTTTCTATTATCATTAAATTTGTTCCTGATTCTGAATATACTTTCATTATTAAATATACTCACATCATCAGTAGCATGTGCCACTTTTTCTGAAAGCTTTCTGTGCCTATTGGGGTTGGGGGAGAGAGAAACAAAATAATTTGTTCATTCATCTCAGAAAAATGTGAACTCTCAGAATGTCTGTGAACTATGTAATTATCTAAACAACGTCAAGAATGAAATCTGGAAAAGGAATCTCTTGGAATTTTCACTACTTTTGTAGAAATATCATAACCATAAAGTAACTACATACTTTTTTATTAACAAATATAGTATTACATTGCAATTAATCAAAGTAAATGAGTTTATTTAAACAAGCAAATTTACAATAAACAAATTAAGAATAAAACTATATGCAAACCATTTTAATGATGCAGAAACTCTAATGGCAATATAAAAACAAGAGCTGTTTGGTAAGAGTTTGCTTAGCAGATTCGACATTAGTAAATTCAACTAAACACTTTCTTTTAAAGTATTTGATCTGATCCTCCAAACACTTGTTGACAAATGATTTTACATATATTGCTAGTCCAAAACTGACTGGGACTACTGATGTGTGTAAATTTACTCATGCTTGTAAGTGTTTGCAGGATTGGACCCTTAGTTTTCATACATTGTTTGAACACTGTTCCAGCACATTAAGACAAGTTAGGCTTAGTGATCATTTGTGTGGCATTATCTATTTTGTTCTGCAGTGTAATTCTGCAGCTAAATGTATTAATATTTCAGAGGGTACACAAACAGTGATCAGGTCCCTTACAGGTACAAAAAGCATACATTATACAAAATTTCCTCATCAGGCTCCTGGAAATTTCCTGAATAAGTTTTTTTTTTAATACTTAAAATGACCATATTTTGAACAGAGTTGGCAAAAATAAATAGGCTTTTCAAATATATTCTAAGCTAACAGGTAGATACAACAAGCAGAGAAGGTAAAATAAAGCTCCAAACTACCGGTAAACCCAAATGACTTCCCAAATGACTAGTTTTATTAACAGGAAAATTCAAAACAAGCAACTTTGCACCTACTAACAAACAACAGAGGTCTTTGCAGCTTTCAATAAGGGGAGGAGGAGAGGACACAAACTCATCTGAGCAACCATCCTGGCTGCTTCCCCTGTGCTTTTATAGCCCCTATTGCAGATCAGCCATGAAATAGGCAGTGGACCCAGGTTCTTTCTGTGACCTCTTACACGCTGGGCTTTCGGGATCACCTTTATACCTTAGGGCTCATTCTCTCTCTCACCCTTCCTCCCAAATTAAAGGTTTTAAATTGTGGTTTCTAAGGACAGTCATTTCTTGATCTCGGAAGATCATAGTGTGGTTGGTGTTTAGCCACACACATAGCTCTTTTTTCTATGTCTTGCTTGCTATTTTAATTCCTCCCTTCTTTTCCTTTAGCCATCTAAGCAATTTCCTGCTTCTTACTTACTCAAACCTAATCCTGCCTTTCCTCTTCCACCCCAAAATACACTGGCAATTACAAGTGATTGCATAATGAGCTGGAGTTATAGGACCAAATTCCCCAGTAGTGTAAGAAGATGACTCTACTCCAGGGAAGTAAATGGAATTACTGCCAACATAAATAGGTGTGAGTCTGGCCCACAGTATCACAAGACAACACATGGATATTTTATTGAGCAACAGAAAAGTGTGAGATTTCCTTCTCTAATGTCACATTATCAATTTGATAGGAGAAGGAAGCCAATATTGACAGTACCTTTACAATATATATTTTATAGTAAGATTGCAGTCCTCCCAAAAAACCGAGAAAATATTTATTTTCACACACATCCCCGCACACACACCCCCCCGGCACTGTTCTCTCTGTACTTGTTTTATGCATCAACTAAAAGAATAATATTTCAAAAGTAAGCTACCAATCTTGTGAGACTGAATGTCCAAAAGCAGTATCAAAAGGCAATAAGGGACGGATCCTGCAGTGCACTCTGATATTTCCCCTCAGTTCCTGGGATTATAATACAAAAATGTAATTAGTACAAACCATTACAAGAGGACATGCATGTAGGCCCTGGTCCTGCAAATACTCACATGTTTAACTTTTTAAGAACATGCATAAGAGTTTGCAAGGGAGGAGAACTGGGAGATTAAGTTATGCTCCAAGGATTCTCCTTTTTAGAGCAAAGGGCACAAGTACTGTATTTAAAAGACATTTCTGATTAGGAACAATATGGTATGACTTGCTGCAAAAAGCAGATGTGCCTCTGTAAAGAAGCATATGGTACATCGACAAAGGGTCAGATACATCAAGTAGGAGCATATTCATTAGCTATGATGTCTGGGAAGTTAGGCATATAATTGCAGGAGGTCTCAATGGTTCTCTCATTATAGATACTCACAATTAAACTGTTGTGAAGTATTTTTCTCTTTTGTTTTTCTTGCTGGTATCGCTCGTTAACTTCCTGTAAAGACTGCTTGAGATCAAAAGCTTTTGTCTGGAATGCTGGAAGAAGAAAGCCATTTTAAAAACGTAAACTCTTGGGATATACAAATAGGATTTTCAATAGCACCTAAGTGAACTAGGAGCACAGTTACTATGGGCACAAATACATAACCTTGAAAATGTTAAATTATTAGACGTACAAGGCATTCAAAGATCATTCACATCTGCCAGTTCAGTTAGGCCAGTGCTATTTGTCACTACGTGAGAGATCAATGTACAGAGGCCATTTTGGGACTCCAGCTGTTTAAGCTGGTAGACATCAGACACGCTGCAGTGATGACAGGCTTTTTCTTCCACTGAGCAAATGGGTGGTGATCTTTACCATTCTAATCACTTCTACTGCAGATTCATTAGGCATCAATAGTGGCATGTACTCCCCTCCTATGCAGAGGAAAAGCGCTGAGGCAGCTCCAACCGTGGGTGGTTTATTAAGGAGTTAAGGTGGAAATGGGGGAGTGTTCTAGCATGAACAGACAGGCTTTAACTTGCTCTTGGATACCCATGGAGTGGCGAATAGATAGGAGAGTACAAATCTTACGCAAGTTTTAATTATATGAAGTATTTTGAGAAAATACTTCACATGTGATGGAACAGGAGTCCGATTGTCCTGGGAAATGGAGTTTATACATATAATGAAGGCAGAAGAGTCATTACTTCATGTCTCTGCTTTTTCAGTTGAGCATAAATTTTCAATACAGTAAGCAGAAAGTTAGACATGCAACTCATTTAGTGTGCTGCTAAACCCTTGTAAACAGAGCTGAAAATGTTCCCTATAAAATGCCAGAGTACACTTCATTTCTAAGATTTCATAGAAAGCTTAATCTTTTGAAATCCCATGAAAGTCCTCCTCACACAAACTGAAGAGGGACGTATAGAGCAGAGTAAAAGCTCTCCAACCTCACAGATGATTTTGTTTCCACCTAATTACATTCACACTGAAAGGTCCATGTGGCAGATGAGAAAAACCTGTAAACTGTCAGAGAAAGCAACCTCCCAGGAACCCCAGCAAGAAATCGAAGTCCACAACATTAGCGAGCTGTCCAGTGACGCAGAAGTACGGTATCCCTCGAATGTGGCTGTAGAGTTGGACTAGCAATAAGGCCACCAGGCAGTATTCACCTTTTTATGAATAAGTTAATATTGAATTTTAAGATCTCAACATGGCAAGCATGTGACTTACACTCCCGGCTAGAAGCTAAAAATCTGAAAACTTTAAACAACCTTTGTCTTATACTGGAGTTTCCCCAGATATTATTTTTGCCATTCCTAATCTGTAAGCCTCACCCGTCAGCCTTGAGGTACTCTCCAGTGTGCAAATTACCAGGGATACATGAAACTGTCAGCTGGAGGGGCAAGGCAAGACCCAAGAGCTATATGGAGAATGGTCCCTTTCTTGCATTCAGTAAATCTAGTAACAATGGCTTAGTCTGAGCAATCATTTGTGGGTTAATGTTGGGTTAAACCTAAATGATAGGGGGGGTTAAAATGTTCAGTGTTACCCTGGAAGCCTAAACAGAAACTTCTCTCTTTGGCCACATAAGACAGTAATATATATATTTTTAAAATATACACAGCAACACTCAATTCTTGAATTTTCTTGGAGAACCAACAGAGGAGGAATTGTATTATGGAATTGTAACAGTGACCCCTGCTAGGCTGCAAGACATTTTCCATTACAGACCTGAACTTGACCACTTGGCACAGCTCCCTCACGTAAGATTTTCCAAGTGAAGCCCCTCATAGCTAAAGCATGATGTAAAAATCTCTTGATTGTTTTATACACTAACTCTCTTGAAGAACTAGCACTTAGGACTATTTTTTTAGCAAGCTGAAGAGTAAATGGTTTTAGTTATTGGAGGTGATCTTTGTGCAGTGAGCTTCTGCGAGAGGCCTGGTGAATATTACAAGCTCTGCTCCACTTAATCTGTGCTTTAGTTTAAAAAAAAAAAAATTCTAGCCCTTTTTGTTGTGAAAGTAATTGTGAAAACAGAAATCAATCATTAGCTCGTCACAATGGTCACTGGTTTGTCACAATGGTTTTTCGAAAAGACAGATGATTCCTTGGGATCTGCAGAAGACAAATAAAGGTCGACAACAAGCTATGTTTATCCAAGCACTGCACAACCCCCTACCTCAAGTTCTTGCACCTGACAGCTGTATTTTCATACATGCTTTCCCAACACTCACTCCCATAAAAAGAATAAACCATTATGCCGCTCATGTTTTGTGAGGTTTTATATGCACCAGAGATGGACCCTTTTAATGTAAGCGCCACAAAGCCCATTTTCTAACAGGCAATTAAACCTTTCTTGTGTGGAACTATTTGTTTATGTACCTAGCCATTTGTTACCATTATTTGTGTTCTCCTGGGATTCCTGCTTGTTTCCCCAGTGAGCCACTCTAGAAGTTACTTATTATTATTTATTATTCATATTATGGTAGTGCCTAGGAACTCATACTGACATCATGACTCCACTGTGCTAGGCACTGTACAAACACAGAGTAAGAGACTGCCCCGGAAGGTTACTATCTAAGCAGACAAGACAGACACAGAGTGGGGAAAAGGGTATACTGTACAAGCAGAACGAACACAAGTGATGGTTTGCAAACATCATGTTAATGTCATAATTTTCCATCTTCTCTTCCCATACTGGGTCCAAATTTTAAAAATGAGGCCAATCAAACCCAATGGAAATGGTTCCCCTACCTTGTAGGTTAGAGAGCCATGATACAATATGCTTCACATCACTAGTCCTTTCAATGTTGTTCCAGTTGTCTTGCAAGAAAGGTTGCATAAGAGGACAAACATTAGTTATCTTTTCTAAATGATTAGCACCAGCCTGAGTAACTGGTTTTGTTGCACACTGTTTTAGTCTTAACCAGATGCTATCTATAAGTTGTCAGATGCTCTATCTGTCTGTAATACTGCTCTTTAGGATAGTGCATTTTTATACTATGCAGAGGTTTGGCTTGGTTTTTAATCTCCCCACAAAAATTGAGGGTGATTTGATACAAACTTTTAAAGTAGCAGGTTTTTTGTTTTGTTCTTCATTTCAGAAAGAACATTTTGAAGGCACAGAAAAGTCAGGGAAGAACATTCATTTGGGCCCAAATCCAGCCCCTTCCCTTCCCCCGAGGTGCAGGGGACATCCCAGGCAGCAGAGCTGGTGAGGCTGGGCTATGCAAAAGTGGGCAAATGCAGGATTCCGGGGACCATGCAGAGAATGCACATCTCCTGCATGGTGCAGAGCTCAGCTCCCGGGGAAGGAGGCAGGACTTGGGCGGCCTAGGGGATGAGCTGCTCCACATAGCCTTCCATCTTCCCCACCACAGGAAGGAGGAGCCTGTGTAAGGAGACATGGAGGCTAATTCATAGACTGGGGCACTGTAGCTTCCATAAAACCTATCTATAGTTTATTAGGGGTGGTGGAATAATTCTTCCCCCAGTTATTCATTTGATCAGGTACAGGCTTTAGATTTGCTCCTTCATAACTGCTAGGGGTGCTAACTTTCTAATCACACAAAACTGAACACCCTAGCCCTGCCCCTTCCCTGAGGCCCTGCCCCATTCCCTGAGGCCCCATCCCCCGCTCACTACATCCCCCTCCCTCAGTGGCTCGCTCTCCCCCACCCTCACTCACTTTCACTGGGCTGGGGGAGGGGATTGGGGTGCGGCATGGGATGAGGACTCTAACTGGGGGTGCAGACTCCAAGGTGAGGCCAGAAATGAGGGGTTCAGAGTGCGGGAGGGGGCTCGGGCTCTGGCTGGTGTGGGCTCTGGGCTGGGGTGAAGGGTTTGGGGTGCAGGAGGGGGCTCCAGGGTGGGGCTGAGGGATTGGGAATGTGGGAGGGGGCTGCGGGTTGACGCAGGGGGTTGGGGTGTGGGAGGGGATATAGACTCTGGGGATTAAGGGTTTGGGGTGCAGGAGGCGGGTCCTGGCTGGGGGGTGGGGCTGCAGAATTCAGAGTGCGGGATGGGGCTGCGGGTTGAGGCAGGAGATTGGGGTGCAGGAGGGGGTGCAGGATGAGGGGATCAGGGTGTGAGACGGGGCTCTGGTCTGGGGCAGGGTGCGAGGGGTGCCGGTTCTGGGGTGGGGCTGAGGGGTTGGGGTACAGGAGGGGGGCTCTGGGTTTTGGGGGGGGGGGCTCAGGGCTGGGGTAGGGGCGTGGGCTTACCTCGGGTGGCTCCAGGTCAGGGATGCTGCGGGTCTAAGGCAAGCTAGTCCCTACCTGTCCTGGCACTGCGCCCTGGAAGCGGCCAGGAGGTCCAGCTCCTAGGCGGTGGGTTGGGAGGGGCCAGGAGGCTCTGTGCGCTGCTCTCGGCCACAGGCACCACCCCCCCAGCTCCCACTGGCTGCAGTTCCCAGCCAATGAGACCGCAGGGCCAGTGGTCAGGGCGGGGACAGCGTGCGGAGCCCCGTGCGGCCCCCCCCCATCTCGGAGCCAGACCTGCTGCCTGCTTCTGGGGCACAGCGCAGTGCCAGGATAGGTAGGTACTAGCCTGCCTTAGACCTGCAGCACCGCTGACCGGACTTTTAACGGCCCAGTCAGCGGTGCTGACTGGAGCCGCCAGGATTCCTTTTTGACGGGGCGTTCCGGTCAAAAACCGGACACTTGGCAACCCTAATAACTGCTAACTTGCTAAGCACTGACAATACTAGTTCTTCCATCTTTTGAAGACTATTCAGGGTCCACAGACACTAATATGGCCTTTTTCAGACAGTATCTATATGATGGATTAAGTTAAAAGAGTCTTCTTAAATTTTCAGAAACTTGCCACCCATCTCAAAAACGGCTGGATTGATATATGAGTCTCAGGAGGATCCCTGTCAGTCAGTCTGCCAATATTTTTTGCTAAAATGATAACATCTATGTTAACTGGGGAACTATGGTAATAAGGACAGAACAATGGGTCTGTTCCTGGTTTGGGAATTACTATTATTCACACTTCACACAGCAAAGATGGCAGTGTCTAGTTTTCAGACTGAGATTAAATAAATCTAATAAGGGGCTACTCAGTTATTTTACAACTGTCTGAGTTCACTCTATACCCACCAGACTCTGGCAATTGACATACTTGGAATGCTTTTTAACATTTCTATGGGTATCTACCTATCAAGCATTTCAGCTTGAGCCTCTATTTTATGAAGTTAAACAGGTAACATATGATTTCCCTGGTACTGTATATATATATTTGGGATTATTCGTAGTAAGGGATGAAGTGTACATCTCATGACAGGTTTCAGAGTAGCAGCCGTGTTAGTCTGTATTTGCAAAAAGAAAAGGAGGACTTGTGGCACCTTAGAGACTAACAAATTTATTAGAGCATAAGCTTTCATGAGCTACAGCTCACTTCATCGGATGCATACAGTGGAAAATATAGTCGGGAGATTTTATATACACAGAGAACATGAAACAATGGGTGTTACCATACAGACTGTAACAAGAGTGATCAGGAAAGATGAGCTATTACCAGCAGGAGAGCGGGGGGCCGGGCCGGGCCGGGACGACCTTTTGTAGTGATAATCAAGCCCATTGCCAACTGTGTCCACATATCTATTCAGGGGACACCATCATAGGGCCTAATCACATCAGCCACACTATCAGAGGCTCGTTCACCTGCGCATCTACCAATGTGATATATGCCATCATGTGCCAGCAATGTCCCTCTGCCATGTACATTGGCCAAACTGGACAGTCTCTATGTAAAAGAATAAACGGACAGAAATCAGACGTCAAGAATTATAACATTCAAAAACCAGTCGGACAATACTTCAATCTCTTTGGTCACTCGATTACAGACCTAAAAGTGGCAATTCTTCAACAAAAAAACTTCAAAAACAGACTCCAACGAGAGACTGCTGAATTGGAATTAATTTGCAAACTGGATACAATTAACTTAGGCTTGAATAAAGACTGGGAGTGGATCTGCATCCGATGAAGTGAGCTGTAGCTCATGAAAGCTTATGCTCAAATAAATTTGTTAGTCTCTAAGGTGCCACAAGTCCTCCTTTTCTCATTACACAAAGTAAAACTATTTCCCTTGTTTATTTCCCCTCCTACTGTTCTTGTAAAGTGCTGGAAATGGCCCACCTTGATTATCACCACAAAAGGTCCCCCCCCCCACCCCCACTCTCCTGCTAGTGATAGCTCACCTTTCCTGATCACTCTTGTTACAGTCTGTATGTTAACACCCATTGTTTCATGTTCTCTGTGTATATAAAATCTCCCCACTATATTTTCCACTGCATGCATTCGATGAAGTGAGCTGTATCTCATGAAAGCTTATGCTCTAATAAATCTCATGACAGTAATTCTGAATATTTCTCTATGATATTGTGTAACTGGTCCACCAATTTTATTTTGTTTTACCAGATGGACAAATCTCCAGGTAGAATCCCTTCCATGATGATCTGTGAACCTGGCCTGGTTGTTTAAGTTTATGATACTGACAATGTAGTTTGCTATTTCGTTCATACTCTTTCCCACCCCTACCTCATTTACTTAAGAGGGATAAGGGTATCCGACCACATACCTTTTGTATCATGCTAAGTTCCATTTTGTTTGGGTCAAACAAATTTACAGCAGGAAAGTTCCTCCTACCTTTTCCATTTGCATTTATTTTAAAAAATACTTTAGAATTTGTGTGCATTTGGTCAGTCATTTTGAGTCCTTCAAACCCAAATTTATCCTACGAGAATATTTTCTGTGCTAATGCTGGGCCTCGCCGTATATCTTTACTATTTACCATTATTAACATTTATGTAAGTGTTACACTTGAAAACATTTCCCATGAGTTAATAGCTCACCACCTCTTGACATCCTTGTAAATGTCACTGTTACATAAGGTCCAAGTCCTGCATTTTGATCCACGTGGGTGGAACTGCTACATTCACACACAGCTCCACTGAAATCAGTGGCTGCGCCCACACAGATTACAATGCAAGACTGTGGCCTAATTCAGAACATTAATATTTTATATTTCCAGGTACATGATATTATAAGTAATAAATTACTATAAGGAACTGAAAAATATAGGTTAAGAACACATAGAAATCACCCAAGCACCAATATGCTATTCCACAGCTGTGACATCACAGACTGATGCATTAAGGGATTTCAACAGCAAGACTAGAACAGACCAGAGGATTCTGTGGGACCTATAAAGAATATTTTAAAAACTAGCTTACAACACTGTATTTGTTTATGGGATAACTGCCCCCCACAGTCTGATAAATTGGAGCATTCAACTTAAAATCCTGGTTCTTTTTTACTTTGTTCTCTGCTACCGTATCAAAGGTGGTCTGTTTAATTGTTTTCTTCATCTTGGCAGTGGAACATTCCAAACCCATGCAGAGTACATAATCTTTGTTTAATCCACCTGTCTGACTAATCTGGCACACACTTGCCACTGTGCATTCTGCTTGATTCCATTACGTAAATAATCCCCCCTTGAGACAAATAAGACCCAGACCTAACTGATTTTTGCAGTATAAAAATGGACAATTGTTTCTCATATGTTGCAATACCTGGGGATAGCATTGCGAGTTGCTGAGTGGCCCACAAATTTTGGTTTTTACTTTTTATTCCTGCATTTTGGATAAATTAAATCAGATGTTGACGGTAACATTTTCAAAACTCTGGTCCCCAAGCCTGCTATCAGATCCGCTAGCAAAGACCCTTATATGCCTGTGTGGGGTCCCACTGAAGTCAATGAGTTCTGAACATGTGCAGGAGTCCAGACTGGAGGCTCCAATTGCAGAATCAATGCCTTAGTGCCTGAGTTACACATACACAGAGTGTTTGTGCAGACAAGTACATGCTTTGCATTTATACATGTTTTGCAAGTCAAACATAGGCACTGAGTTTTGAAAACGTAGTCTTTATAGTGTCATTTTACACAGTACCTTGTGTGTGTCTGTTTTTTAATTAAGAAGTATATTTTCTCCCTAAAACATAGGAAAAATTTAAAAATCCAGTTTGCCCTATTTTCTGACATTATTCTGAGAAGGCTGAACTCTCCTGAGATTTTCCCTGGTACAGTCAAAAGTACAAAGTTCCAGCTCAGGAAACACATTTTTTATTTTACTATTCCATAACAATCAAGATAACAAGCCCAAAAATTTCACATTAAAATGTTAGAACGGGGCCAACTTGGAACTCCAGTAGAAGCTGCAATCAGCACCAAAAAAATCGATCCAAACTATTGTAAGGCATGCTGCCTTGTGAAAATATTTGATTACACACATATTTTTGGTAGTACCTGCTTAAGGAAAGCCCACGATCTAGAAGCCTAAATGAAAAAAAAAACCCAAAAAACGACCCCAAATTTTAAGTGACACCCGTGTCAAAATCAAACAAAACACATGAAAGAAATGTAATGTTAATGTTACACGTCTGAAACATAAATGCGGTGAGTCTTACTTTGCAGAGCTTCATTCTGCAGCTGGATCTTTTGGACAGCAGTCAAAACTTGGTAAAGAGAATTCTTGTACTGATGTTGAAAGTCTCTTGAAAGCTCAAGAGCAAATGCATGGAGGTTCTTCAGGTCTCGCTTAAGTCTCTATGCAATAAGCAGAAAACATCATCTTAAAAAAGATGTAAAAATAGCAGTTGGATGGTAAAATATCCATAATGCAAATAACTATTGTCAGGTATCACAACCAAGAAGAACGTTTATATTTCACATAATGAATGGGTTTAATTTAAGGACTGATTTTGCAAGATGCTAAGTCATCTCATTTCCAACTGACTTCCGCAGGAAATTTCATAGCAAGTGCTCAGACCATCACTGCATTAGGCCCTAAATGTGGAAGAAAGTATCTTTTTTAATTTTGTTAACTAAAACCAAGACACTTTAACAGTGCGTAATGTACATGCTTATGAATCACATATACAAGTAATTTTAAATACACATACTTCATAGAATCATAGAATCATAGACTATCAGGGTTGGAAGGGACCTCAGGAGGTCATCTAGCCCAACCTCCTGCTCAAAGCAGGACCAATCCCCAATTTTTGCCCCAGATCCCTAAATGGCCCCCTCAAGGATTGAACTCACAACCCTGGGTTTAGCAGGCCAATGCTCAAACCACTGAGCTATCACACCCCCCCCAAAATAAAAATAAATATTTTTATAATAAATTTATAATAATTTTATAATAAATAAAATTTATAATTTATAATAATTTTTATAATAAATACTTAAAATAAATAATTAGTTATTACTATATTCTTACTTTGCACATTTTACATACTTTGTTCAGTAGCTACATACCTAGCTCATCCTCAAATTTTTCTAGAATTTGCCACTTCTTCTGATATGAAAGAAGATGCATTTTACAAAAATCAGATTCCTTTATAGTGTGGGATATAATGTTTTTTATTATTAAAATACATTAACACCCAGAGCATCTTAGACTGACAGTCAAAAATTGAAATAAGTAAAAATAAATTAAATGCAAGAGAGAAGTGTGGTCTGACTGTAAGACTAGGAGCCAGGAAATCTCCTTCTAGGCTCTTCAACAAGGCACTTAGCCAATCTGTAAAATGGGATTAATAATGATTTACCTCGCAGAGGTGTGGTGATGGTTAACACTTTCTACGGCCCTCTGAAGATGAGAAAGTGCTGAGTATTACTCTGTGGCGCTTTGATATTACCAGTACTACATAGTCAGCCTTTCACTGTGAATTAATTACTTGACTAATTTTTAATGGTAAGACTTTGTACTGAAGGTTAAAAAAATAAAATCTACTGCAGCTTTACCTCCGAAAAGCTACAGAACACAACAGGGTAAGAAAACCAGTGTTTTTCAGTGACAATTCTAGGAATACAGGTAATTTAGAATTGTATCTGGACAGCTTTTGCCTCTTGTAACGTATTTATCTCCTTGTTGATAGAAAGCCATCACAGTCCAAATGTGTTGCATCCCAATCAGCTCTGCCATTCTATCTAACCTAAAATTTAAAATAGTATTACAAGATTTTCTATGAAGCGTCATTCTAATGAGATTAGCACACTTCATTTATAAAACACCACAGTCCTCTTTTCAGTTATTTCTCTTTCAAAGACAGTTCAGATGCACTCCTTTTATACAAGCTTTTAGGCATCAACTCAGAGACTCATGTTCCTCTAAAAAAGCTGACATCTGCAAGTGTCCTTGAGAGAAACCCACAGCTTTACAGCCTGTTTGCAGTCAGTACCTTTTAACAGAGGTATAACACATTTTAATACAATTGGGTGGACAGCTCTAGTGTTTTCATTGCCTTGAAAATGTTTTAGGTACTGTAAAACAAACATACACTAACCAATAAAATATAAATAGACTGCTCATGGGTCTGTTCCCACAAGCCCTTCATGTGGGGAACTGCTGATGAAGTTGATAGGAGCGTCACATGCAGAGGTTTTTAGGATCAGGCTTATCTTTCAGAAATTATTAGCATACTGTGTTAGACTTAGAACGGACTGTTTCTTTTTTAACATATTTTTGACTGCTTCGGTGCACTGAGTATCTCTGCATTATTACTAAGATTCTTTACCTGTATTGCTCCATAAACCTGGATTATAATGGAGCTCGTGCTTCTACACAAGTTCTGTTGCTTGTCATGAACAAAGTTAAGCTGTGCCACTTCATTAGTGTCTCTTCCAATCAACCCTCGAAACTGTTAAAAAAAACAAACGGAGAATGTCACTTTGAAGATTCACAACTCTGTAAGTGTATGTTTTGGTCTAACATAGGAGATTTCAACATTAGCACCAGCCAGGGACTAGAACACAGGCACCCAAATGCCATCTCTTAATACAGTATATTTCATATTTGCAGTAGTGAAAGAAGATCAGTCTTTGAAAACCATATTTTAAAAAATAACCAAATAAGAATATTTTTTATCCATTATGGAAAAAAAAGACAATGCTTCATCAGCTTTATGTAAAAAAAAAAAAAAAAAAGTTAATACAAGTCACCAAATTTTATAATAGTTTTCCTTCAAACTATGAAAATGTAATATTAAAGACCTTAACCAAATAAAACTAAAACTAAAAAATGGGAGTGAAGGTTGTAATGCTCCTTTTCTAATCCCAAACAAGAGGGCTAATTATTGCAGGGTTTATCAATTAGCAGCTGACATTAAAAATCATACAATATGTTCTGAAATCCATAGGCACAATGGAATAGGTTAAAGAAGGTGTTTCAGCCTACTATCTGAATTGCCAGGCTTATGTCACTATAAACACCTTCCTACTATTATTTCAGTTGTGTTTTATATTGGATTATATTTCTCTTGGATTTTCATTTTTATTGAAGCAATTTAATTAAGTACTCAGACCTTGACTTACCACTGTGATACTCCAGTTTTACACCACCAGAACTTCACTGAAATCAGTGGAGTGACATTCATGTAAACATCAAATAATACAGTGGTACACTAGGCCCTCAAAAAGAAAAGGAGTACTTGTGGCACCTTAGAGACTAACCAATTTATTTGAGCATGAGCTTTCGTGAGCTACAGCTCAATAGTGAGCTGTAGCTCACGAAAGCTCATGCTCAAATAAATTGGTTAGTCTCTAAGGTGCCACAAGTACTCCTTTTCTTTTTGCGAATACAGACTAACACGGCTGTTCCTCTGAAACCTGTCACTAGGCCCTCAGTTTAAAGTGGCCAAACCAATTTTTTTAGGATGTATAGAAAAATTAACATTGAAAATCTGAAGTGTAAACTTAATCCAAAAGCAATTTTTATGCCCAAATTATGGGAAACTAAGAAGAAAAAAAATGGATTTTGTAACTGAACTGAAATGATAACCCTTTGTTATATTGAAGATCACTACAAAATGAAATCTACGCAGAGGAGAACTTGTGAAATTCTGCAGAGCAATATCCTGAACAATATAAAAAAACAAATCACTTTTCAGTCATCACACTTGTTTACAAGCATTCATGGCACCACTAAAGCTAGCTAATATGTCTTATTCCAATTCCCCCCCATAACCTGTTGACACCTTTCAATTCTTAACTAGTATTTGTACTCTTTTTTCTTATTTCTAGAGTACACTTCTATCTACCATGAACTTGCTTTCCAGTTAATTCAATCTATAAATGAGTTGTGGCTGCAGTTCCCAGTACTTTAAATTAAGATAGCAGGATAAAGTGCAATAATACGACTTCTAGTAAAAATAAAGAACTAAAACCAATGAGACAGTGGATTGATTTAATTCAGTTAATTTGCCATGACAGTTATGGTGGAACCAAAGATTCAATTACAGCTGACACATGGAAGACAACAAGAGCAACATGATACTCAGTGAACTTCTGTTGTCAAAACAAAACAAAAACATAAATAAGAATGATTTATGCTCTCCAAAAAAATCTTTTATCCAAGCAGGGTGAGGTTCTCAAAACTTTTTCATAGTATGGACCACATATTAATAGCAAAATTATCTTCTAGAGCAGAACTCCTCCTCCTATTCAGGATTGCAATAATGAAATAGGAGGATCCACCCAAACACATAACATTCCTGGAGCAGCTACAACAATTGCTTACACGACAAAGGAAGGCAGGAAAATATTTAATTTTTTAAAAAATCTTATTTTAATGAAATTTAATAACTGGCAACAAGGAGAAGAAAAAGCACTAACAGCTCAAATCCTCAAAGGTATTAAGGTTCCTAACTCCAATGGGCATTCGGTGCCTAAATACCTTTAAGAATCTGGGCTCATGTGACTAACCAGCTTTCCACCCTCTGTAAGGACTCCATGGACAACAGTTTGACAACTGCTGGAACAGAGGATCAACTAAATTTTTATATTTATTTAGTACTCTCAAATCACTGTAATCAATTACTCTTTTTACATGTAAACAATTGGGAGCAACAAGTACTATGGGAGGCAGAGAGAGATTCTCCTGCATTTTGAAGGGTTGACTGCTCTCTTGAGAGTTCTCAAAACTGCAGGTAAACATAAAACTCCAGGTCAGAAATACCCCAGGAGAAAATCTTCATTCCTCCATATCTCAGCACAAATCTTTCTACGTTGATATTTAAAAGGATACTCACGAAGGTATTTTTGATCTGAAAGTCATCCAGTTTTTAAGCACTAGCTAAAGTACTGCAGGTCAGAACTTTTTGAAAAAGGCTACCGGACACTAGAAATATAGTAGAATGAAAGCTGCATGATTGTCTATGGGATGCACAAAAGCCATTTTATAAATTCATATTTTTTATGATAGACTTGATTAGCCAGAAATTGTGACAGCTCCTATATACTGATCACATGGAATTTTTTCTTTTAGTCTATTTTATAAAAGGACTCCCAAGATTCAAATCTCTCAGGTGCCATTTTTGCAAAGACTTATGCATGCGTTTCACTTAATGCAATATATAGTCCTACTGAAGTAAATGGGACTACTCATGTACAAAATTAAGCACATGAATAAGTCTTTGCAAGATTTGGGGCTATGTTATTCAGAATGTTTGAGGTTATTAAAATTAAGAGCATTTCAAACATTTAATTTATTTTTTGCTGTATAATTCTGCTTGTTTTATTTTTTCTATTTTTCTCAGGGTGGACAATAAAAATAGTTTGGTCAGTTTCACTTTTTCTTTATAGTCAGCTTCTATTCAATTTCACTTTCAGGTTTTACATTTATTAGAAATACTCTCATGACCTTTTCTATGCAAACAGTTTCCTCTTTTGATTTATCATTCCCCTGAAGTGTTTGCCACCCAGAATTTGTAGGATTGTGTTACCCAGGAGAAGCTGAAAGTAAAACTGACTACAAATAGAAGAGAAACTGACCAGTTTACTTGCATTGTCCAAAACGTGGCAGCAGTAGATTCATGCTTGCAGACCTAGGTGTCCTCATGGAAGTAACTGGAGGATCAGGGCCCTAGTAGGAGGCAAACAAAAGCAAACTGCATGAAGTAATAAAATAAAGTAATACGCAGTTTTTAAATTTTAAGTTTTAATAATTTAAGATATTATTAACAATACCGGTAAAGAACGAACTTTTTAAAATATTTTTTCTATCTGAGCATATCCCTTCATGTATATTTTCAAGCAAAAATAAGAAATATTTAGAAGAAATGTTTGTTTTGTTTTTTAGTGGAAGGGAACTACATTTTCTATGCTATTCAAAAATTACCCCTCCAGTGCATGCTGGCAAAATAGTAAGGTTATTAAAAACACGATTGATTAGGAAAAAACACAGAGAACTAAACTGCAGCTTTTTCATAGGACTGGAAGGGACCCCGAAAGGTCTTCTAGTCCAGTCCCCTACACTCAAAGCAGGACTAAGTATTATCTAGCCCATCCCTGACAGGTGTTTGTCTAACCTGCTCTTAAAAATCTCCAATGATGTAGATTCCACAACCTCCCTAGGCAATTTATTCCAGTGCTTAACCACTAACAGTTAGGAAGTTTTTCCTAATGTCCAACCTAAACTGCCCTTGCTGCAATTTAAGCCCGTTGCTTTGTGCTGCCCTCAGAGGTTAAAGAGAACAATTTTTCTCCCTCCTCCTTGTAATAACCTTTTATGTACTTGAAAACCATTATCATGTCCCCTCCCTCAGCCTTCTTTTCTCCAGACTAAATAAGCCCAATTTTTTCAGTCTTCCCTCATAAAGGTCTAAAAAACAGTACCTAATCATTTTTGTTTTTCTTCTCTGGACTTTCCCCAATTTGTCCACCTCTTTCCTGAAATATGGCATCCAGAACTGGAAACAATACTCCAGTTGAGGCCTAATCAGCGCAGAGTAGAGGGGACGAATTACTTTTTGTGTCTTGCTTACAACACTCCCGTTAATATATCCCAAAATGATGTTTGCTTTTTTGTAGCAGTGTTACACTGTTGACTCATATTTAGCTTGTGATCCACTATGACCCTCAGATCCCTTTCCGCAGTACTCCTTCCTAGGCAGTCATTTCCCATTTTGTATGTGTGCAACTGATTATTCCTTCCTAAGTGGAGTACTTTGCATTTGTCTTTATTGAATGTAATCCTATTTATTTCAGATCATTTCTCCAGTTTATCCAGATCATTTGCAACCCCTCCTAGCTTGGTATCGTCCGCAAACTTTATAAATGTACTCGATGTGCCTTTATCTAAGTCACTGATGAAGATATTGATCCAGAACTGATCTCTGAGGGACCTCACTTGAAATGCTCTTCCAGCTTGACTGTGAACCACTGATAACTATTCTCTGGGAATGGTTTTCCAACCCTTTATGCACCCATCTTATAGTTTTCAGAGTAACAGCCGTGTTAGTCTGTATTCGCAAAAAGGAGTACTTGTGGCACCTTAGAGACTAACCAATTTATTTGAGCATGAGCTTTCGTGAGCTACAGCTCACTTCATCGGATGCATACTGTGGAAACTGCAGAAGACATTATATACACAGAGACCATGAAACAATACCTCCTCCCACCCCACTCTCCTGCTGGTAATAGCTTATCTAAAGTTGGGCCATTTCCAGCACAAATCCAGGTTTTCTCACCCCCCCCATCCCCCTCCAAAAACCACACACACAAACTCACTCTCCTGCTGGTAATAGCTTATCCAAAGTGACCACTCTCCTCACAATGTGTATGAAAATCAAGGTGGGCCATTTCCAGCACAAATCCAGGTTTTCTCAGCCCCCCCCCCCCCCAACTCACTCTCCACCTTATAGTAGCTCCATCTAGGTTGCATTTCCCAAGTTTGTTTATGAGAAGGTGATAAGTCACAGTCTCAAAAGTCTTACTAAAGTCAAGATATACCATATCTACGCTTTTCCCCCATCCACAAGGCTTGTTACCCTGTCAAAGAAAACTATTAGGTTGGCTTGACAGGATTTGTTCTTGACAAATCCATGCTGACTGCTACTTATCACCTTATTATCTTCTAGTTGTCTGCAAATTGATTGCTTAACTATTTGCTCTATTATCTTTCCTGGTACTGAAGTTAAGCTGACTGGTCTGTAATTCCCTAGGTTGTCCTTATTCCCCCTTTTATAGATTGGCTTGGTATTTGCCTTATTCCAATCCTCTGGAATATCTCCTGTCTTCCATGACTTTTTGAAGATAATTTCTAATGGCTCAGATATCTCTTCAGTCAGCTCCTTGAGTATTCTATGATGTATTTCATCAGGCCCTGTTGACTTAAAAACATTTAACTTGTCTAAGTAATTTTTAATTTGTTCTTTCCCTATTTTAGCCTCTGATCGTACCTTCATTTTCACTGGCATTCACTATGTTAGACATCCAATTCCTACTAACCTTTCTGATAAAAACTCAAAATAATAATAATCATGTAGCACTTTTCCATTTTCGCATTTTTCATTATGGTTTCCTCCCCTCGTTGAGTAAGGGGCCTACCCTGTCCTTGGTCTTTCTCTTGCTTCTAATGTATTTGTAGAATGTTTTCTTATTACCCTTTATGTATCTAGCTACTTCAACCTCATTTTGTGCCTTGGCCTTTCTAATTTTGTCCCTAAATACTGGTGTTTGTTTATATTTACCCTTTGTAATTTGACCTAGTTTCCACTTTTTGTAGGATTCTTTTTTGAGTTTCAGATCATTGAAGATCTGGGTTAAGCCAGGGTGGTCTCTTGCCATATTTCCTATCTTTTGTACACAGTGGGATAATTTACTCTTGTGCCCTTAATAATGTCTCTTTGAAAAACTGCCTAATCTATTGAAATGTTTTTCCCCTTAGACTTGATTCCCAAGGGATGTTACCTGCCAACTCCCTGAGTTTGCTAAAGTCTGCCTTCTTGAAATCCATTTTCTCTATTGTGTAGTTTTCCCTCCTACCATCCTTAGAATCATGAACTCTATCATTTCATGATCACTTTCACCCAAGTTGCCTTCCATTTTCAAATTCTCAACCAGCTCCACCCTACTTGTCAAAATCAAATCTAGCTTCTCCTCTGGTGGTTTTCTTCACCTTCTGAAATAAAAAACTGTCTCCAATACATTCCAAGAATTTATTGGATAATCTGTGCCATGCTGTGTTATTTTCCCAACAGATGTTTGGGTAGTTTAAGTCCCCCTTCACCACCAAGTCCTAAGTAAGGGGCAGATAAAGGGCAGCATACTGTGTGATTTTTAGCCAATTCGGTTAAATCAATGTGCTATGAAGGTAGACACCCTTAAAGTGATTTAAATCTCGTTTGTATCAATTTATTTGTGGAGCAAAAGAAACCAATACAAACAGGTTTAAGGTGATATAAGTGTGTTCACTCACAAGGGTCCATGGTTTAACTAAACCTGCTTATTTAAACCCAGCACAAGAATGTGTGTAGACAGTCCTGTGGCTCAGAGAGCCACAACCTCCCTCCTGGTTATCCCACTGCTCCCAGGAGGGAGCAAACTTCACCAAATCTATATCCAGTATAGACGTTCCTCTGTGCTGGCTAGTACAGGGTGGGAGTGGAGGTGTCACTATACCCCCAACCCAACCACCTGAGCAAAAGAGGGTCAGTAACCACTTTGCAAAGCCCACTTCTCCTCCCATGTTGCTGCCTATGATGCAGACAGCTGGCACAAGGGAGCTTGCACCCCCTTATGCCTCTGGGCCAGTGCACTGGACAGGCCAACATTTAACTCAAAGGAGTGGCACTCATGGTTTCTTAAGAGTCCAGTCAAAGAGTAAAAGTGACATGGGGGTAGGGCTGGGGTTTCAGTAAAACAATGTTTTTCGTGGAAAGTATCCGCTTTCTGCAAAAAAATTCCTTTTTTCCTCAAAAGACCTTGGCCAAAAATGGGCATTGCTCTCTCATAATGCACCACAACCAGGGACTCCATGTTGCACAGCTTCCCCTCACCAAAAAAGGGAGACTCTGATGCATCATGGGAGCTGTAGTCCAGCTGACGATCCTGGCCCACAGAGGACAATGGGCACAAAGAACAAGCTGCTACTCCCATTAAGCACTACAACTCCCATTTTTGGCAAAAATCTGATAGTTTTCAGCCAAAACCACTGAAAACTCAAAATTTCCCATGGAAAATTTCAATGAAAACCTCAAAAAAAAATCTTTCATTTTCCCTGAAAATTTCCATGAGGGTTTAAACATTTGCACCAGCTCTACTGGGGGCTTTCAGATTAGGGGAAGAAAGAGTAAAGTGGGGAAAAATGGGAATGCTATTCAAGGTTGTAAGACCGAATAGCGGTCCCTTCCCTAAACTTTACGAGGAGGAAAGGATCTGAAGTTTATCATGAAAATGCTGAAACCACCCGTGACCACAGATTACATTATATTTTTCTATACATAGCTTTGTACTTGCACTGCTGTTAAGAGAGTTAAGTAAAAAGATATTTTGATTGACACGAACCATTTGGCAATGATTCCTCCTGCTTGTGGTGCAATCAGGGTGCTCTCCATATACCTTTATCTGCTCCAGCCTTGCAATATATTTGGCAATTAACAAGTGAAACTCTGGAATGGATTTTTCTAGCAGCAATGATTAGATTTGTGACAGACTGCCTGCTTGATCAGCCCTACAGGCAGAATACTGAAAAACTCAGTCTTGTCTACATAATGCTTTAGTCCACAGAAGAGGGGTATCAATTTTAGTCTTTGTTAGCATGTCCTGCACTAACTGACTCGCACAGACTCTGCTGGCACACACTAAAAGTTCCCCAGTGCACGTTAATATAGTACTGTTTGAAACAGGACTGCATTAGTGCACACATTAATGCACACAGTGAACTTCCAGTGTGAGCCAGCAAGGGCCACATGAGCCAGTTAATGCATGACATACGAGTGCAAACTAAAATATAAAATTCTTTGTGCAGACTAAACACCATGTAGACGAGTCCTCATACTGGCTTTGGCTCTGGAGGAGGGTATTTTGTTTACAAGACACATTCTGCCCTCTGATGCATCTTACTATCTAGAATAATCTCCATATTGTATGCTTGAGATCAAAAGGTCAGTTCAAATTCCTAAGAATATCTTCACTAAATGCTACCAAAAAAAAATTGAAATATATTTTGATGAAATAAAATACAGTATTCTTTTGTGTACTCAGCAAAAGTCATCTCAGATGCACCATCTGGCTTGCAGTCAGGACTTCTTATTTTTTTAGTTAAATCCAATTTCATCCAGCAGAGTTAACCAAGACATGGTGAGGGCAAGTGGCTTTCCTGAGGTCACACAGCGATTTAATGACTCAGCCTGGATTAGAATTTGTCAACTGACGGTCACTATTACCTCTAATCCACACAGCCAGTCCTGGTCTTGCACAAAAAACAACTTCTCAAATTTCTTTTAATCTCTAAAGACCCAGCTTTGAAGAGGCAAAATATTATTTATGAGGACTGTTCATTATTTCAGTAACTGCTCCAGAAATAGTTGTCCCTTCTGATCAGCAGTATTATGAAACAAAGTGGATTAGTTTAGCCATAGCTAGGCTTTTCCAACTGCTTATATGACATTTAGTTTTACTCCCTCCAACACAAGACACGTATGTACACAAATATCATGAAGACACTCAATAGAGCATCTTTGATAAGCCCATTAATTATAAAATGCAGGTTCCTGAAACCAACTTATGGCCAAATATTTGAAAAGAGTGGCCTCCTTTTTGTGGGTGTAAACTGCCCCCTCAAAATTTGCACCTACATTTTGCACATCCAGTTCAACTGCAAGCAGAAATCAGGTATTTCAGTGTGAAAGTGCTCAAATTTGGTGTGCATGTTTACTCCCTCAGTTCATTTTTGAAGGCATGAAATTACAGGCAAGTATTCTAGTATTTGCATGTCTGACTACCTGATTTGCACCTGCAATTAAAGAAAGTGTGAAAATTTTTCCAGCAAAAATTTGTGCTCATAAAAAGTGAGGCTGTGCCCCCATCCTTCGAAAGCTTACCCCACAGGAAGATGACACACTTTGAAAATGAGAAAAAGGATTCCAACTTCTTTTTTTAGGTGGTGGGTTTTAGCACCAACTCACAAACAACATGGATACATCTCCACTCACTTTACAAGAGATTAAACATGGACAATATAATTACCTCTGCAAGTTTCAGATGAAGAAGAGCATTTTCTGTTTCCAGCACAACTATTCTTTCTTCTTTAGCCTGAAAAAACAACTGATAAACTAGATTCTGCATCCTCACCCTCAGCAATAAAACTGAAATAATAATTTCTGAATGTAGTCAGACCAATAATCTTTTGACAATCATGCACTTATTATTCAGCAGCACGACTATTGCAGTGTAAGAAGTTGATGTGATATAATAAACTTTCATTAATATATTTTGCCTTAATATACATTTTTATAACCACTTAGGATAAATAATTCCCATTTATTAGATTGTCTAGTTACTGGTTCTCATCTTTTTTCAATATTGAGACCTACTTTCCCATACTGGTACTCCCTTCCAACCTAGCTGGTTTAGCAGCTTGGGAAAGTGCGGGTGTTTATGACACCATGACATGTTTGCAACTCTGCTGGGTGCAATGCCCCCTAGGTTGAAAATCCCTGAGCTACTGTGTCAGGCTGTCTGCAGATTCATGCGGGCATCACTGCATCAGTTAAAGCTCAGCTCTCCTTTTCAAGATAGTCTCTGCAATCATAAGGCTAGAAATATTTTTTAAAATAATGAAAAGGGTAAAAAAGGAGGGTCACTAGAGCCCGCTCATGACCCCTAGATTGAGAACCCTTAGTCTAGTCTTAGTCATCTTAAGTAGGGTGACCAGATGTCCCGTTTTTATAGGGAGATTCCTGTTTTTTGGGACTTTTTCTTATATAGGCGCCTATTACTCCCCACCTCCTGTCCCGTTTTTTCACAGTTCATATCTGGTCACCCTAGTCTTAAGCAAAGTAAGCAGTCATGGGATAAGAGAGAAGGTTCTCTCATGGACTGGTAACTGGTCAAAAGATAGGAAACAAAGGTTAGGAATAAATAGTCAGTTTGCAGAATGGAGAGAGGTAAATAGTGGTGTCCCTGAGGGGTCTGTACTGGGCCCAGTCCTATTTAACATATTCATAAATGATCTGGAAAAAGGGGTAAACAGTGAGGTGGAAAAATTTGCAGATGAATCAAAAGTACTCAAGATAGTTAAGTCCCAGGCAGACTACAAAGAGCTACAAAAGGACCTCTCAAAACTGAGTGACTGGGCAACAAAATGGCAGATGAAATTCATTGTTGATAAATGCAAAGTAATGCACATTGGAAAACATAATCCCAACTATACATATAAAATGATGGGGTCTAAATTAGCTGTTACCACTCAAGAAAGAGATCTTGGAATCATTGTGGATAGTTCTCTGAAAAAACATCCACTCAATGTGCAGCAGCAGTCAAAAAAGTGAACAGGACGTTGGAAATCATTAAGAAAGGGAATAAGACAGAAAGTATCATATTGCCTCTATATAAATCCACGGTATGCCCACATCGTGAATACTGCATGCAAATGTGGTCTTCCCATCCCAAAAAGGATATACTGGAATTGGAAAAGGTTCAGAAAAGGGCAACAAAAATGATTAGGGGTATGAAACGGCTGCCGTATGAGGAGAGTGGGACTTTTCAGCTTGGAAAAGAGATGACTAAGGGGGCGGGGGGATATGATAAAGGTCTATAAAATCATGACTGGTGTGGAGAAAGTAAATAAGGAAGTTTTATTTACTCCTTCTCATAACACAAGAACTAGGGGCCACCATATGAAATTAATAGGCAGGTTAAAGTTAAAACAAACAAAAGGAAGTATTTTTTCACACAACGCACAGTCAACCTGGGGAACGCCTTGCCAGAGGATGTTGTCCCTCTGGGGCATCTGGCATTGGCCACTGTTGGAAGACAGGATACTGGGTTAGATGGACCTTTGGTCTGACCCAGTATGGCTGTTCTTATGTTCATTATTGTTTACAGTAAGAACAGCCATGCGCTCAATCTTGTATTTCAAGGATCTGTACAGATTATACTTTCCTGGTAGTGCAGAGAAGTAAGCATTGCAGACACAAAGAAAATTTCCCAATTTTGGAACCACAAGGGTTTTTTTTCTACACAGCCAAAATGGCTTGGGAAAGCAGATGATGTTGCTCTTTTCCGATTGCCAGAAGATGCCAAAAAGTCATATTATCTGGGGAATCAGAAGTTTCTCAAGGTCTCAGCATGGATTCAATTTTATATTCTAATTTTTGGTAAATTGTGATCCTAGTTCAGATGTGCAATGATATTTATCAATGCCAACATTTAAATTAGTTCACTACTACTCAAAGCATGTAGAAAGGGAAAAGGATGAGTATAAAGCATAATCTGCCAAGAGTGACAACGCATTTTGGTGCCACAAATGGAACGTGCTTGGATGATGGTCACCATTTCCCCTCAAGTCCTCAAACCGATCCTCGAAAACAAAAGGCTATGAGGCATCTGAGCCCCATCAAAGGGGAATTAATCCTACAATACTTAGTGCGGCATCTCAATCTGAGCATCTGAGGACACTCCAGAGCATCAGCAGCCTGATCTGTTCAGGTGATAAGTAAGAGGCCAGGTAGCATCTTCCACGACTCTAGTGGCTAGTGCTCTTCTCCCTGCTGGAGGCATCTACAGAGTCAGGCAGACATCACAGCACTGAACACATTCAGGTCATGTTTTCAAGTTTTTCTTAGCAACCAAGAGGGCTAGAAACACTTTCTTGTAATGGAAACTGAGGTTCTGATCTTATCACATGACTCTGGGAGCAGGCTGCCAGGCATATGTTTATAACTTAGTGCACCCCTGCCGATAGGTGTGTCCCAGCACAAAGCAGCTGCAGCACCCAGGAGCACAGCAAAGCCCATGGGCGCATATTTGAACTTCTGCACAATCCTGCTGTGAGCAACATCTCGTCTTGGTGCCCTAAGCAGGTGGAACTTGAGGCAGGAACATGTAGCTCTTTCCCCCAACGTGGGCCCTGACCCCCAGGACCATCCAGCTGAACCAGGCTGCCCATGGCCAGGCCCAGCAGGGGACATAGTACCAGGGGCTGGTGAGCAGCAGCACCGGGGAGGCCACAGAGAGGAAGATCTGCTCAAGAGCTACTCCCTTGACCCAGCTCCTTGTGGTGGGTGCATCGCTGGGTGGTATTGCAATGGCTTCCAGCTCCACAGGCCACCTGGGATATTAGCTGGCAGCTCCTCCATGAGGCTCCGAGCACAGGCATTTGCCTGATGTGGTTCACAAACTCCCCTAACACTTGCCCCTTTTGCGGTGAGAGGGAGACCCTGGTGCACAGCTCCGTAGGATGTGTCAGGTTGAAGGACCCTGGTCATCTATCCCAGCAGAAGGAAGAAACTGAATGGGAGGTTGGGGCAGCCTGCAACTGTGAGGCCTATTTGCATTCCCTTGTTCGATCTGGTCTCCAGGAGGAGCTCCTCTGGGCTGTGCCACGGGCTCCCTAGGGCCTCGCGGGATGGTGGGGAAGATCGGGGCTCTCTGCTGCACACCCCCTCCGGACCCTTCCTTATTGCCCCATCACCTTCACTCCCCCGCCTGTTTTCTCCTTCTTCCTCCCCCATGACTAGGGCCCTACCAAATTCACTGCTATGAAAAATACGTCATGCTCCATGAAATCTGGTCTCCCTGTCACAGAGTCACTGGGGCAATGCTCTGGAACTACTCTGTATGAAGCCAGTCAGGACTCTGGGGGAGCATGCCTCCTCTCTCTGAGCATACTGTCGCCAGGGCAAGTAGCTTATATAGCTTTGACCTTCCTGGGTCTGACCTTGGAGCATTCAGCATCCCCTTTTCACACTGTGTGATTCCTGCAGCAAGTCCATCTGGGCGGGGCTCCTGGGAAAGCCAGAGGGCCCTGCACCCCAACTTTGCAGTCAGCTGTGACTCTCAGCCAGCATGTAGAACAGAAGGGTTTATTAGTTGACAGGAACACAGAGTAGAACAGAGCTTGTTAGCACAGAATTAATGACTTTCAACCAAGTCTATCTTGGGGAGTCCTGGGCCAGATGTCTTGGACTCCCCCTCTTCCAGTTTCCCCAAGCAGACAGCCATCTTCCAGCGACCCGAACTCAGACACCCCCGTTGCTCCTCCTCCTCCTTCTTTGTCTCGCTTCCCGGCCAAAGAGTTATCTGGTCGCATCCCCCTCCTGGGTCTCAGGTTATGAAGGGCACCGGCTGGTCATAGCATACGTGCAGGCAGCTGGAGAAGCCTCACCTGCCCAGAGGTTTCAGCCAAAGTCACACACCCCACTCCCACCACCAAGGTATTGGTGCAGCACACAGGGAAACTGGGACACAGACAGTATTCAAGCAAAACAGTAAAACTAACATAGGCTCAACAGTAAGACTCACAGGTTCACATACAACATAACAAGGGAAAATCCCCACGTCGTCACACTCCCCCCATGAAATCTGTTTTTTTGTGTGCTTTTACCCTATACTGTACTATACAGATTTCATGGGGGAGACCAGTGTTTCTCAATTTGGGGGTCCTGACCCAAAAGGGAGTTGCAGGTAGGTCACAAGGTTATTTTAGGGGAGGTTGTGGTTATTGCCACCCTTACTTCTGCGCTACCTTCGTAGCTGGGAACTGGAGAGCGGCAGCTGTTGGCTGGGTGCCCAGCTCTGAAGGTGGTGGCTAGGGTTGCCAACTCTGACTGAAGCTATTCCAAGAGAATTTTTTCCCCAACATGATGTAATGTCATTTTCTTGAAATAGCCTATCAAAATCTCCTGGATTGCTTTCAGTAGTCACCGGGAAACCAGTGCTGATTCCAGGAGACGCCAGGCCAATCCTGGAGGGTTGGTAACCCTAGCGATGCCCCGCCAGCAGCAGCGCAGAAGAAAGGGTGGCAACACCACACCCGGCCATGCTTACATCTGCCTTGCTGCCGGCGGTGGCTCTGCCTTCAGAGCTGGGATCCCGGCCGGCAGCCGCCGTGGTTCTGCAGCTGCCCGGCTCGGAAGGCAGCGCTGCCGACAGCAGCAGTGCAGAAATAAGGGTGGCAGTACCGCAACCCCACCCCTCAGTAACCTTGCTACCCCTCCACCCCCCACACTCCTTTTGGGTCAGGACACCTAGGGCTACCCCACCATGAAATTCCAGGTTTAAATAACTGAAATCATGACAGTTACCATTTAAAAAAATCCTATGGCCGTGAAACAGACCCCCAATGGAGGGCGCATTGGGTAGGGCCCTCCCCATGACCTGGCCCAGCGGCTCCTCCCCTGCCCCAGCCCCTCAACCAGCCCCATGGGCGCCAGCCCAGGAGGAGGCGGCGGGGCGGGGCGGGGCGGGGCGAGAGTGATGACATCGCTGCCATGACGCACTAAGGACGGCCCAGCCCCCTGCAGGTGAGGGGGCAGGGCCACCGGCTCCTCCCCGAGCGTGGCCCCCCCGCCCCGCACGCGGAGCGCACTCACGCGCAGCTTCTGCTCCAGCTGCCGGATCCGCTGCTGGGCCACAAAGCTCGGGCTGATCCCGCCACCCGGCCGCATCCTCTCTCCCGTCCTGCCGCCGTCACCCCGCGGTCCCGCGGCGCGCACCCAACAATCCCCACCACGCGCACGGAATCGCTTTGAATCGACCAATCAGACGCTGGCATGGGGCTTCGCTTCGGTTGCTGCGGAGACAGCGCTTGTCCTCCCTCCCACCGCAGGCGGTAATGACTCCCACTGGCTGGAGGGCGGCCAGGGAGCTTGTGACAATACCGGGGCGCTCTCCGAGCGCTCACTGACGGGCGTTAGGGAGCATCTGCCAAGGCCCTTGCTGGCGCAGCGGCGGAGAGCGCCACGCAGGGACACGGTCGGCCTCCGCTCAACCGAACCTGCTGCACGCGACCTGCTCTCTGCCTCGTCATGAGTGACAGCCGCAGCCTGCCAATCCAGCCGCGGCGGGGGGAGGCGGGGCGCACGTGGGAGCAGAGTGGCGCGTGCCCCGCGCTGGAGCGGGGCTCGCTGAGTGGCGGGAGCCGGGCGCGCCGCGCGCGGGAGACCCTTGCCCCTGCGCAGTCCCAGCTCCGCGTGGAGGTCGGGCTGGCCTAGTGCTGGGAGCCCCGGCTCCTGCCGGGACAGGAGAACGGCAGCTGGAAACGAGGGACGGCCCCTTGCCTTCCCTGGGCCGGGAAAGGGGGTGTCCGCGTCCAGGCTGGGCCGCCTGTGAGGGGCGCGCTTCAGCCTGTTGAAAGTGCCGTGGGTCCGTGCGCCTGGAGGAAGGGCCCCCTGCATCCCTCGAGTTCGGGCTTGGAGAGGAGGGGGGCGGCGCCCCTGACCCACAGGCTGCAGGAAGGGGACTGGGGCTCCTAGACCGTCGCTCCAGTCATGCACGTGACCACTGTGCTGTGGTCAGGGGAGAGGGTGCTGTGAAAAATCAGCACAGCTCCCTCGCCCCTGCCCTGGGCGTTTTCACTTTTTGGAGCTTGTCGCACACAAAGAGCACATCTGTGCCTCCATATCCATGACCCCAGGAAAAGCTCTGGTCATGTCATGCTGAAAGATGTTAACGGATATTAAAAAAATATACTTTCAGATTATGACCGCTCACTTTTCCTCAATATGTAAAATGAGGTACTGCATTGCGTGCTATAACTAATAGGTTCGTAAGCCATTCTCTCTCTCTCTCTCTCTCTTTTTTTTTTTTAAAAGACCTACAGCTTTCCAGTTTACCTATAAAATGCAGCAGAATCAGGGAAAACAGACTATATAAAGTTAAAAAAATTGGGACAAGTTTTAGCACAACAATCTTTCGTCCGACATATTAGTGAGACAAGGTACTATGTTTTACTGGACCAATTTCTGTTGGTGAGACCCAAGGTTTCAAGCTTACATGGTTTTGAAGAAGAGCTCTGTGCAAATTCGAAAGATTGTCTCTCATTAATAGAAGTTGATCCAATAAAAGATACTACCTCAGTATCCTGGGACCAACATGGCTATAACATCACTGCGTAATCTGGCATGTCAACTGTACAATCAAATCTAGGCACTTTGGTATGTGATAAACAATTTTTCAGTTGGCTAACAGCTTTCCTCAAGAAGTATCCCACAGTGCTTAATGTCTTGTACGTTATGGAGATAAGGGCACAGTTCCTTTGAAGCTAGAATTGTGTGCCAATTGATCAAATCCAAGAGGTGCCTGAGGTAAGACAAGTTCATTTGACATAACTCATGTGGCAACAGAAACCAGAGCCACAGCTAACATACATTTTATGTTCAATTAAGGACCAACACAGACTAAAGTGTTCATAAAAGAGCTCACTGATACCTTATCACTGATGGTAGTCAAATACTTCAGACTTGTCATCCTGGGAGACTTCAACATATGTGTTGACAAGCCCATAGGTACAGAACTCCAGGCTCATAAAGAAACTAGCTAAAGTCCAACTTCAAGCTCATCTTAATGGAGCTAATATCCTAGAACTGGCACAATCTGGATTCACACCAAAACGTGGCACTGAAACCACTTCAGTGGCACTGATGGATGATCTCTTCCTGTCAGTGGATAGAAGGCAGACATCCATTCTCATTCTTCTGGACCTCTCTAGCATTTAACACTGTCGACCATATAGTACTGTTGTCTCATCTGAGGAAGGTAGCAGGCTCAGGGTAGTGCGCTTAAATGGTATGAATCCTTCCTAGAGGGACACACCCAATAAGTAGTAGAAACTGCACCTCCACCACTAAGCTTCTCACTTGTAGAATTCCACAAGGCTCAATTATCTCTCCAATTCCATTCAATATCTACATGCAGCCACTGGGTGAACTGGTTAGATGACATGGACTCAAGTGCCAGCTGCTCTACCTATCCTTCACAATATACGACCGCACGACTCATAGTTGAACAAGCAGCTGATTGAAGCTGAGCCTGAACAAGACAGAGGTGATGCAGCTGGGCTGAGGAAAGCATTTTGAAAAGTTTCAGTCCAGTCCATAGTATGGGAGTGCTGCCTGGATTCCTCACTGATGCTAAGCTCTTACATAGCTGCATCCATGAGTAATGCTTTCTACCCTCTCCAGTTGGGAATGAGAGTCCATCCCTTCCTCAGGAATGATGACCTAGCCTTATTTATTCACATCTTTCTCACTTTCATCAGGACTACACCACTGTGATACACCTGACATGAAGCCCTCGCCCTTAGGATACTCCAACTAGTACAGACCACTGCAGCTTGTCTCCTAAGCAACATGGACTACTGTGAATATATCTGATCTGTACTTTGCTCTTTACATGGGCTTTCTAAAGAACATGGAGTCAACTTCAAGGTCTCAGTCATTTCCTTCAAGTTGCTCAATGGCCTGGGCCCAGGATACCTAGAAGATCCCCTATAATTCAGATAAAGACTGTGGTCATCAACTGTGCTCCTCTGGCACAATGGAACACTCTACAGTATGGGTGAAGCTGATCTGGGCAGGAGACAGCGCTTTCTCAGGGGCTGTTCCAAGAACATGGAATAAACTCTCACAGGAACAAAGGACCATCACACACCTCACTTACCTTCTGCTTTGAGTGCAACGTGTACTTCTTTATGCCTAACAAATATATAGTAATTTGTTTGTGTTTGTATATTGTGACAAAGTTCCTCCTCTACCTTGGTGGGTCTTGTGCTTATTGGCGGATTTGCTCACCTTGGAGCTTCAGGGCAGCCCTCATTTTGGCCGTTTTCGTGAACCCACACTCCAGGTCAACTCCTCCTGTGTCTGACCAGGATTTGGAAGGTTTGTGGGGAACCGGGCCCGCCCTCTACTCCAGGTTCCAGCCCAGGGCCCTGTGGAATGCAGCTGTCTAGAGTGCCTCCTGGAACAGCTGTGCGATAGCTACAATTCCCTGGGCTACTTCCCTATGGCCTCCTCCCAACCCCTTCTTTATCCTCACCATAGGACCTTCCTCCTGGTGTCTGATAATGCTCAGTCCTCCAACGGTATGTGTTTTCACTCTCAGCTCCTAGTACCTCCTGCTCCCAGCTCCTTACATGCACACCACAAACTGAAGTGCCCTGATTAGCCTGCCTTAATTGATTCTAGCAGCTTCTTGATTGGCTGCAGGTGTTCTAATCACCCTGTCTGTCTTAATTGTCTCCAGAAGGTTCCTGATTGTTCTGGAACCTTCCCTCTTACCTTACCCAGGGAAAAGGGACCTACTTAACCTGGAGCTAATATATCTGCCTTCTATTACTCTCCTGTAGCCATCTGGCCCGACCCTGTCACAATATTAAAAAAAAATTCCAAAAAACCCCATTGCACTGCACACACTTCTTCCCCTGGAGAGAGGATGAGAGAACACACATGACAGATGTTAGTCATTTTGCTTAATGCACAGCTGGAAGGCATGTTGGGGATAAGTATAGCATAAGAACAGATACAGAACAGAATTAATAATTCTCCAAATCCTGATAGTACTCCATGAGGAAAGCTATACCTCATTCTCTTCCATGTGGGATTAGTTTGGTTTTCCTAGATACTTTTGGCAGTTCACATGGCTTTGGCACCTGCTCCTCTAATTACGTTATCTATTGTAATCCATGTAACTGTTTGCTCTTTCATGGAGTACTAAACTGCCTTATGAGAAACCTATTAGGAAACTCTGCATCCAAGAAATGTCTTTTTAGGGATCCAGAAACTAGGCTGAATACTTTATGTAGTTACTTCATATGAAATCTTTATGATGGGGAATATAAATGTGGCAGCTGTATAGAAGCAGGAAATAAGCAACATTTACTTGTATGCACTATGATTTTTCTGGCAAATGAAAGCCAGGATCATAATTATAGACCAGTTGAATTTTTGTGAGGCAGTCCAACTCTGACAGACCAAATCAAACCTCTCTGCAGAGTTCAGTGAACAATAGAATGCCAAGATACCATCGTTTCCCTACACATCACTTAAATATTGCAACACCATAAAAAGCCACTTTCAGACTTGGAAGTTCCTCAGGCATATATCCTGGCAGCAAGTTTTGTATTGGTAGGAAGATGAAAACTGACGAATGTGGTTCAAAAAGATTTCCTGACTGCTGTGTTACTGACGGCTTTCAAAAGATGTTGGCACTAAAAGAGGCAGACAAGTTTGTGCGCAAAAAGGAACATGCTATTGCAATTTACTGGCTTTTGGGAAAATGACAGGCTTCACAGAGGCTGGGATAATGTGCATTTGTGTGTGCCATTTTGAATGGGCAAAAGTTCATTGCATACCTTCTGGGCCAGTTTCCCCTATCAGAGTAAACAAACAGGATGCATTAACATGGCATTTTAAAGATTTGGGCATTGGCTTTTTAAAAGGCAGCATCTAGAGTGGCTGATCTTTACCACCTATATTCAAAGGTCCAGCTGAGGACTCTTCATCTAAACCGCAGTTGTTAGCAGTACAGGGCTAGACTCACCCTTTTGTTTCCTTTCTCTTTAAATTATGGTGCAGGGGTCTTAGAACATCACCTTCCTCACTGAGTAATGAAAAAAGATTTAACCAGTATTAATATTTTTAAGCAAATAGTATTGTAGTTTTGAACTCCTATACAGCTGCCACATTTGCATGCAATGCTGATGGCCCTGGATGCTGAGGTCTTGTTTCTTCCTGTAACACTTATCTAACATGCAGCTACAATCCAATGAGATATGATACTACCTTGCCAAAGTGACTCAGCTCTGATCCAGCACAACACCACACTTCCAAGCTCCTGTAATCTGGATAACTGGAACACCAACACCTTCAAAGGACATTGAATCCTATTACCCACACTTTCCTCATACCTTACCATCACCGGGTTGAGGAGATGTCCCCTAAGAACACCAGGCACTAGGATAAAACTGAAAAACAGGCACCTGAAGCCATTTTCTCAATTTGTAACATCATTAAACAGAGCATCAGAAGAAAACAGCCTGAAGCTCTTGTTGCTTAATGCAAGAGCAGCAGCCCATAAAACTAGCACCATCCATGTTCTCATTTTAGATGACGCACCTGCCCTTGCTTACATCACTGAGACATCATTCAGTGCCACTGTGAAGCTTCCCAGGGGTACCCAGAGTTGTGAGGCATCTCCCCATCACCTGCCCTTAATGTGAGGGAATCTTGTCTATGCGTGCTGTAGATCAGTTCCCTGAAACCACCAGCCTGTGGCAACACAAGCGCAGCCTTCCAGGCCACCGCTGGTCTCTGTACAAGTTAGAGGTAGGCACATCCAACCCCTGAGTACTTCAAGAATCCCTTTGGAGCGCTCAGTCCATTACATGTACCCACGAGGTCTGGGCAGGTTGGTACTCAGGGCAGCTAGTGCTTGCTACCACAACTGCACTACTACTATTAGCATTCTAGTTCAATAAGATCTAGTGCAAGTGTATCTATCAGTTCACGACCCTCCCCTTCGGGGGGATGGATGCAAGTGTTTGCCAGGTTGTCCTGATGTTAGTTTGGATAGTCCGAATAAAGGGTAGGGCCACCCTTGATGGAGCTTCCACGGTCAGAATATCCACCACGGGGTCCTCCACCTCTACTACCTCCTCTGCCTGCAGGTTCATATTCCGTACCACCCTGCACAGGAGGTTGTGGTGGGCATGGAGGTCTGTTGGAGGGGGACCCAAGACTGCAGTGCCTGCCACCGCCGAGGAGGAGGAGGAGGAGGCGGCCACGGTGGGAAGAGGATCATCTCGGGCCTCTTGCAGAGCTGGGGCCAGCTGTTCTGTGCCACCGACCTCAGGGCCCGGACCAGGAGTCAGTGTTGGAGGAGGTCCTGTAGTGGGGAGAGAAGTCACGACAGTCTCCGTGCCCCCCAGGGTGGGCTGACTGGCGGTAGCCTCTGGCACTTGCTGCTCAGATGGGGCTGATCAGGAAGCCCCGGATGGAGCACCCTGGGCCTTGTGGTACGCCCAGGGCGTCCAGAACGGCCATTGAGTTGGGCCCTTGAGCGGGTCCCTGCCCCTGCAGCTGCCAAGATCCAGCCCCTGACTCCAGGCAGGTATAGTCTGAATGGCGACGGTCCGAAAAACACGACCCTGCCTCTAATCCCAAAGAGCGAAAAGCGGAACATGAGGGCCATGGTGGTGCCGAACAGATCTGCACCAGGGAACGGTGCCGTGACACTGGGAAGTGGTGCCAGGACCTGGACCAGTACTGAGACATGGAACGGCTCCTTGATCTGGATCTGGGCCGAGATGATGACCGGTGTCGAGATTGGCGTCGGGTCCGGGATCTGCTCCTCCACAATGACTGGCAAGCAGAGCAGTACCGGGACCGGCGACGGGAGGCAGAGCGGTGCTGCGAGTACGACCAGCACCGCAAGCAGCAGTGGGACTGCAAGCGGGAGCGGGAACGGTGCTGAGAGCGGGATCGGTGCTGTGGCTCGACCCACGGTGCTGACGGGTGGATCAGGACCGGCTTGCCCCGGGGCCTTGGCATGTGGCTGAGGGGATGCTGATGCCGTCATGGCAATAAGATCCCTTGCAGCTGCAAAAGTATCCGGGGTACATGGCAACTGGACCTCAACCATGCTGCGTGTCTGGGAGTCCAGCGGTACTGGACTCAATGTCTCTCCCCTTGGGGCCAGAGTCAATGGTGCCGAGGCCGTAGGCTGTGCCCCTGGACTCTCTCCTCTGGGACACGTCTCCACGGGCGGTTCCAGGGAGGCTGGTCTCTGCGGAGGTGGACCACCCCTTTCTGGCTTCCAGTGCTGTTTCTGGCCCAGAGTCAATGGTGCCGAGGCCGTAGGCTGTGCCCCTGGACTCTCTCCTCTGGGACACGTCTCCACGGGCGGTTCCAGGGAGGCTGGTCTCCCGGGAGAATGGGAGCGGTGCCGAGCCAATGATGTCGGTTGCGGTGCTGGGGACCGCTGGTGCCGCGGATCTCGATCAGAGTCCAACCATGGTGCCGGTCCCAGTGCTGCCACCAGGGCGCTGCGCACTGAGACACTTGGTGCCGGATCTTGGTGCGCCACAGGAGGCTGAGGGCTAAGAGCTGCCTCCATGAGGAGCTGCTTTAAACGAAAGTCCTGCTGCTTCTTAGTCTGGGGACGAAACCCTTTTTTCAATCCTGCACTTCTCTGCTTGATGAGACTCCCCCAGACACTTCAGGCAAGAGTCCTGGGGGTTGCCTGTTGGCATGGGCTAGGGGTGAAGGAGCAGGCTGGGGGTTGGGGTGTAGGGTCTGGCCAGGAGCTAGAATGAGGGAGGGGGCTCAGGGTTGGGGCAGGAGGTTGGGGTGTGGAGTGCTTACCTGGGCAGCTCCCATTTGGTGCGAGGGGTGCAGGTGGGAATGTGAGTGTGTGTGTGCAGGAGCTCCTGTTTGGTGCTCAGGGTGGGGATGTGGATGTGAGGGGTGTAAGAGTTAGGGCATGTGGTGTGGGGGGTCTGGGTATCTGTGAGGGGTGCAGAAGTCAGGGTGGGGGGTGCAGGAGTCAGGGTGGGGGGCTGGGTATGTGTGGGGGGTGCCAGAGTCAGGGCTGCGGTTGTGGGGGGGTGCAGGGGTCAGGGCACGGGGCTGCAGTGTGTGGGGGGTTCCGGGGGTGAGGGCAGAGGGCTGGATATGTGAGGAGGGTTCAGGGGTCAGGGCAGAGGGCTGGGTGTGTGTGAAGGGGTTCAGGGTCAGGGCAGAGGGCTGGAGGTGTATGAGGGGAGTGCAGGGGTCCGGGCAGAGGGCTGGAGGGTGTGGGCTGGGGTTGTGGAGGTGCTCCCTGCCCCCTGCCCTGAGCGCTCACGGCAGGGGGCTGGAGGGGATATGCTGATTCCACCCCCAAGGTCCCCGGAGCAGAGAGCGCGCTGCGGCTCCACTTTCCCCTCTCCCACTCCGTAGCAAGGGTCGTCTGCTGATCGGCCGCAGGGAGAGAGAGAAGGAGGGGCAGGAACCCTGCACACTGGGGGAAGAGGCGGGGGGGGGGGGAAGCTTGCCTGCCCTGCAAGGAGAGAGCGGTGGGCAGAGAAGAGTGGGCCAGGCCAGGCAGGATTTTTACTTGCACGCTGCTGTCCCGGCAGACAGCAGCGTGCCATTAAAAATTGGCACGCGTGCCATAGGTTGCCAACCCCTGGTCCAGGCCGACCCAAGCATCAACTGCTGTGAAAAGCTGTTGGCACAATTCACTGATAGATAAAAGAATACCTATGGGGCTAACTAGGAAAGAAAGTCCTGGCTGACCAGGCTTTATCATTAACCTACCACCCCCTGACTGAGTTTGGCCACATCAGACATGCCAAAACTCTAAAAGCCCTGAAAAATATTAGAGCCACAACCTGTGAAGTGGATCCAAGCCCTCTTGGCTGGTAAAAGGCAGTGCAGAATGGAAATATTCAGTGCCTCCTTCAGAGAAGCACAACTACCAAACTCCTTAAAAATGCAATAGTTCACTCAAACCCCATGAAGTCAATTTGATCCCAAAGATCTCTCTAACCACCATTCTGTCTTCAGTCTCTTTTTCCAGGGCAAAATAACTGAGAAAGTGGGATCCACCAGGCTCCAACACCATGTGACATCAGCCAACATCCTGGATGCCTCACAGTTGGGTTTCAGACTGGGGCACAGCACAGAGACTGCTCTAGTGGCATTAAAAGACAATCTCCTCATGGCCATGGTCTCAAGTAAGGTCTCCATGCTCATGCTACTAGACCTCTCTGCAGCCTTTGTCACAATGGACAAGGTACTGTACTAATCTGCCTATATGACATAGCAGAAGTAGATGGTGACAGTGCTCCAATTGTTCCTCTCCAGGAGAACTCAGAATAGTGATGGGTAATTCAATTGCTCCACCTCTCCAAAGGCCCTCATCTGCAGTGTCCCACAGGGATCCATACTATTTTCTCCTCTTCAATATCTACCTGAGATTACTTGGAGAGAGAGAGAGAGGTGTCATGGACTTAGCTGCCAGTGATATGCTGATAATTATTTCATTCTCAGTGGATGCAACCATTGCCACTTTTAAAATGTCAGAAAGCCTACAGGAAATAAACTCTTGGATGAAGAAGGAGAGGTTTCTTACCTAATAGTAACTTCAGTTCTTCCGGATGTTTTGTCCCTATGAGTGCTCCAACATAGGATGCACGCATGTCTGTTGCGCTCTCAACCGGAGAATGCAAGGCTGTGTATGTGGATCCGCACCTGCACAGAGTAGCACTGTGGGGCCTCCAAGTGAGGTCATGTTGGGAGGCATGGGCCTGCTGCCACTCAGTTCCTTTTCGACCGTGAAAGCAGAGCTTCCACAGCTAAGGGAAGGGGGAATGGGAGTTGGAGCACCCATAGGGACAAAACATCTAAAAGAACTCAAGTTACCATATGGCAAGCAACATCTCTGTCTTTGAGTATATGTCCCTATGTATGCTCCACCATAGGACACTCCTAAGCAGTAACTCAATGAGAAGTTGAGTGCTGAGGAGGCAAGTCCAAGATAGTTTGGAGGACTGTGTCACCAAAGGTAGTATCATCCCTGGAAGCAGGTAAGATGGCATAATGTTTGGCAAAGTTATGAATAAAAGACAAAGTTACAGTCCTACAGATTTCTGTTATGGGGACATCCTTCAGTAGAGCTATATGAATGGACTGAGCTTGCATGGAATGTGCTATTTCTCTGTGAGAGGGATGCATCCCAGTGGATTCGTAGCAGGTTAAGATGCAACCCAAAACCCACTTTTACAGCCTTTGAGTGGAAATAGGTTGACCCTCCATCCTCTCTGCAAATGATACAAATAGTCTAGGAGAGGCCTGGAAAGTCTTAGTCCTGTGAAGGTAGATAGTGAGGGACCTTATGAAGTCTAGCGTATGAAGGCTGGTCTGCTCACTGGAGGTGTGAGCTTTTTGGTAGAACACTGGCAGTGGAATCTCTTGATTAATGTGGTATTTCGACTAGACCTTTGGGAGGAATTGAGGATGAAGTTGCATTGTAACCTTGTCTTTGTAAAAAGCTGGCATATGGCAAGTCAGCCATAAAAGCACAGGAGAGCTCTCCCATTCATCAAGCTGAAGTGATGGCTATGAGGAACAAAGACTTGAGTGAGAGATGGAGGAGAGAACATGTAGCCATCTGTTCAAAGGGAGGTTGTCTCTGGGCATTGAGAATCAAATTTAGGTCCTGCTGCAGGGTCGGGTTCCATACAGGCTAAAATAAGTTGTGTATGCCCTTGAGGAATCTAGCTGTATAGGGTCGACAAAGACTGAGCAGCCTTCAGTGGTTGAGTGGAAGGCTGTGATAGCATCTGAATGTATTCTGATTGAGCTCATTGATAGACTTTGCATCTTTAAATCCAACAGGTAGCCCAGGATTTGAGAGTGGAACCTCTGAGACTTGAGAAAAATGAAGTGAACACCAGGAGTGGAAGCGTTTCCACTTCTAAAGGTACGTTTTGTGAGTAGTGGGTTTCCTGCTAGATAGGAGAACTGTCTGGGCCTTATCCAAATAGGTTAGCTCCATGCTCGAGAACCATCTAGGAACCATGTTTTCAAGTTTAAGGAGGAGCGGTTGGGATGGATCAGGGTCCCTGAGTTTTGTGAGAGGAAGTCAGAGAGATACAGAGGAGTTGAGGAGGTTCAAGGACCACACTTGTCTTGTCCACGGTGATGTTATGAGAATAACCTAGCTCTTTCCTGACGCAGTTTGAATAAGGTCTTGAGAACTGGAGGTAGAGGCAGATAAACATACAGTGGAGTACAGGGCCACTGTATTATCACAGTATCTCTCCATGAGTTGTGGCCGTATCCTCCCCCTTAGAGCAGAAAAGGACATTTTGTTTTGGTTGGGGTAGCACAGAGGTCTGCTTCTGGGAGACCCCACGTTTGGCAGATGCTGTGGAAGACAATCGTTGAGCTCCCATTTGTGATCCTGAAGGAAGTGTCTACTCAGGAGTCTGCAGCTGTATTCGGGAGGCCTTGGAGACAGATAACTGAGATTTTTATCTGATGGAAAATGCATCAGTGCCACAGCTTTAGCAATTCTGTGCATAACGACTGGGATCTTTCTCCACCCTGCCAGTTGATATAATACACTGCTGTCCTGTTGTCAGCATTACCCTGATGGAGTGGCCCTACAGGGTGTGAAATAAGTGTTGACAAGCATATTGAACTGCCCTCAGCCTCAGAATTTTCTTGTGGAGCATGACCTCTTGTGTGGACCACTTGCCCTGGGCTGTGGCTCCTTGGAGGTGAGCCCTCCATCCCAGAAAAGAAGCATCTGTTGTAAGGATCTTTGAGGGTGGGGGATGTGAGACTGGGGTTTCCCCAGAGATTTTCAGTGGGTTCTTCCACTAACTGAGAGAGTCTAGAACTTTCACAGGTACTGCAGAGATTGTCACTATTTGGGGTGTACACAGACCTTAGCTACATCTTAATCAAGTCATTATTACATTAAATACTGAATTTTGATCTGTGAACCACTGAGATAACTATTCTCCTCTGGGACAATGCAGATCTTAAAGCCCAAGATAAAGTATGTGAGAGCTGGGAACACAGCATTCTCTGTCAAGAGGATCTGGCTATGGAACAACCATATAGAGATCAGTCCAGTCTTGCTGTCTGGCCTTCCTCTGAGAGAGAGCCTTCCTACCATAAGGGACATTCAGTTCAAACACCCCTTTCATTCCCAAATCCCTTCCAACCCTTGCCCCCAAAAACAAACAAAACTGAACCCTACCTCAAGAAGAGTTTTTACTGCTAAAAGGGAGACATTTCAGAGACTTCATGGGACTTTGCTCTTGCTATCCATTTTACATGGAAAGCATTCAGATACTTCACTGATGGGTGGCAGTATAAAATCCTACAATAACGGAAGTACTCAGGACAGACCCATAAACTACTAATGCTCTTTACATTAACCCTAACACAGTGACCATTAGATTAATCAGCTCCCCATCACAGCATTATAATGTGTGGGTGTATATATTATGGCCTTCCTGCATGCAGTAACTAGAAACTAAAAGGATGGAAATGACTACTGACAGTCTGCCAAATGGTGACCCTGTCTCTGCCCCTGCAGTGCCAAACATATGAGACTGTCACCACTGGATGTCATTGGATTCTTTTTGTATTGCATACAAGATAGTAAATTGGCTGAGTGCACTTGATAGTAATCAGAGTCTGCAGTTTTGTACACACAATCATTGAAGCTTTACGAAACATCTGACCATTTGATCTCATTATTGCTTCCTAATAAAATGATGTTAGATAAATAAACTTCAGGGACATGGATCCATGTTTCATTTCGTTTAAATGACTCTCACTGTTTCAAACAGACATACTTTTATTTTCAACCAGGAGGTTGAACAGAACTGCCAATAAATGCCTGAACAAATCCTTCACAAGTTTTGACAGTACCTTTTAGCCTCTAAATGACCCAGCGCTCAGACACTTGCCAGTGCAACTCTCTATAGCAGATGGTAGAGTTTTTTCTCTAAGCTGAGAGAAAACTGGGTTACTTACTGGTAGCTGGAGTTCTCCATGCAATCACATTCACTCATGCACAGTGCTCAGCCAGAGAGCCATTAAAATTTAAAATACGAAATACAGATTATGAGGATTCATAAATGCACTGAACAGCACATTTTCCATCACACCTGATAGAAGCTCCCACTGTGCCTTAGGTGCCAGGATCCTGATCTTTTGCCAAGCTATTCTTGTTGATGCCTTGAGCCGTATGAGATAAGTGTTAAATGCTTTCTCCTTCTGGTCCTGTAAAGCCCCTCTTCTAACATTGTCTGAGACATATTCAGTAAGAGAATTTTTTTTCCTAACTATGATCACAACTTCATACTGGAATAACCAGTTGTCATGCTGCAGCCATAGCATGGGAATTGTGGGCTGCAGATTAATTTAAAACTAGTGATGGGGAGATCAGAAATAAGTCAAGAATCCATTTCTGGGTTTAGTTCTTATTAAAAAAAAATGTTATCAAGAGATGAGGATACACCCATTCAGGTAATAAATCTCTCTTTCAAAGACCCAACTTTTTGTTAACTCTAGCCGGAGCTGAAGTCTCGGCTAAATTGAGGTTTGGCCCGGACTCACAAACCTAGGCTTTGGGAGACCAGCTTTATAGCCCCATTACTGTACCTCCCTTAGGGTACATCTACACTGCAATCAGGAGGGGTGAATGCAGCCCATGTAGCCATTCCTGAGCTACCTTTGATTGAGCTAGCTCACTAAAAACAAGAGTCTAGCTGCCCGAGTACAGCTACACTGCGATTTTTAGTGAGTGAGCCAGAGGTGCTGTCTTTCTAAGTTGCTGGGGGGTGATTGATCCCCGCTCCATCTCAGGCCCTGCCCCCACTTCAGCCTTGTCCCCCCCAACCCCTTCCCTGAGCACATCTCGCCCTCACTCCTCCTCCTCCCCCTCCCCCCCCAGCACTTCCTGCACACTGCTGAACAGCTGATCTGCGGCAGGAGGGGGAGGAGCTGATGGGGGGAGCTGCCCACTAATTTTTTTTTAATATTTTTTTATATTTTTTTTGCATGGAGTCGGCGCCTAATGGAACTAGCCCAATCAAGGCTAGCTTGAGTATGTCTCCATGTGTTGCAATCACATTTCCTGAGTGCAATGTAGACATACACTAAGCTTTAGCCACTTAGCCCACATGCACCCTTTCCGTCCATGCCTTCATCTCTCCCCCCCATTACCCTTTTTTTCCCTTTAGTATTAAAAAGTAGTTTCTACACCTTAGCTTCCCATAGGCAGAAGGATGTAAGGGGCCAGCAACACCAGCCACCCAAAACAAGAGTTAGAACAGAGAAACCAGGCAATAACAAATGAGCGTGTGCACAGCTGCCAAGTGTCATATATGTAGCAGTCCTGTCCGCATTTCCAGAACGCAGCTGGATTGTCATGCATCCCGCTGGGCTGCAGACAATAGCTGTAACAGCTCCTTCCCAGCCGCCAGAGGCCAATAGTCTAGTGGGATCTCTTCAGCTGACTTGGCAGGCTTTGGTTTCCCCGATATGGAGTTCGGCCATCAGTTGGTGCTCGCGTACTTCCTGGGCTATTTGAGGCTGCAATTGGGCCAGTATCCCTGCAGTTGTCTCCTTTGTGGCATCTGTGGAAGGAGGTGTGATGCTGCCAGACAAGCTCAAATCAAAGCCATAGGCCAATTCACTTGTGTGTGGATATCAAAGAAATATTAAGTGGGCTAGGAGGCATAGGACTATTAATCTGTGTGGGGATATCAAAAAATGTTAATGTCATTGTCTTCACTTACCTATAACCCGTTATTGTTGTAGATATTGTTGTTTACTATCACATTACATTCTGTATGCCCTGTACTTAATCCTAAATCAAAGGTGTATTACTTGATGCTTAAACTTCATGAAAACTAACGAAAGATTGTTTGGATTGCTGTAACTGAATGCATTATGTCTGTATCTGTAATTAGATTGCCTATCAAACAGGATTGGAGGCTTGGAACTGTAAATGAAGAAGCATGCTAACTTCAAAGCATGGGTCATTGTGCTCGACTGTGGGAAATCCACAGACCCAGGCTGCATTTAGTCAACAAAGGAAGAGCACCTGCTGAGGTGGAGACACTTGCCAGATTGCTTTCCGGAGAAAACAGCTGTAAAAATGAATCCAGGGGATGATCCTGTATCTCTGGACTGATGGATTCTGACAGGGTGGAAAACTGAGTGATTTGACAGAAATCCCTAGAGCTATTCTAGGTAACCCTGAGAGACTTATGGAGAACTAGCAGATTACTACGTCTCTGCTATCATGTTGGACTTACAAACTTTGACTCACTTGTTAATGCATTTGATCTAACTTCTCAATAACTCATTTCTTTTTCTTAGCTAATAGACCTTTAGTTAGTTTATCAGAGAGATTGGCTGCCAGCATTGTCTGATGTGAGATCCAGAGTATCCGTTGTCCTGGGGTAAGTGACCAACCCTTTGGGATTGGGAGTAACCTAATGTGAAGTGATTTTTGGTTTTAATAACCTTTCTTCAGAAACTCTAGTTTGTCTGGTGGCAAGATGCGCTGGAAAGCCAAAAACCATTTGTGACTACAGGTCAGACTAATATAGTGATCCTTACTGGCTTGGTGAAATCTAATTATAGAATATGCCACCAGTTTGGGGTGTCTGCCCTGTTTTCTGACAGTTTGACCTGAGATTGGCTATGAACTACTCTGGACACTGTGACAGGAGGGTCCTTGGGCACCACTACCTTTTCTTCCCTAACACCTGGTCAACACGTAATGCAAACAAACTTTCAAGGTCTTTTTTTCACAAGACCATTATAGAACTGTGGTTCACTCGTGTCTATTCTTTAAAGCTATCAATATCTAGTTTAAACTTTTCACAGTGCTGGGGCTATGATCTATAAACTTAATTGACATATGGTATGTGAATCCTGTCAACTATGCCAGTGTCAAGCTGTCCTGCAGTGGCTCAAGAGCATGAGTACGAACCTCAGGGCAAACTGTAAGAAACGGCAAAAATCCCAAATTGATCCTTGCCCTCCTCCCCTAGTCCATCCCAAGGATCAATTCAGGGCTAGTCTAAAGCTCTCTTACAGAAAAGCACCATACACATACGTGGTATTTGATATGCAAACTACTGGAAAGGCTATGGTTCTTAGGAAATGCATGAACTAACCTCCCTCAATGCAGTTCTATAAAAAACAGGAAGCTGGGGTGGAAAGAAATAGTTTTATAAAATTACATGTTACAAGTATCTTTTTTAAAGATACAGGAATTTAGGCATGACTAGGCAGAGACTCCCACTTACTGTACAAAAAGATTGCTCATTTTACCGTTTAGCTTGTTTCTCCCAGTCTTGTTTATCTGCTTAATCTGCCTGTTGCGTCATGTCTTGTCTAATGAAAGAAGCACCACGTTTTACTGCTATGATTATTAAATAAATGTGATTTATAGATTCCAAGGCCAGAAGGGACCATTGTGATCATCTAGTCTGACCTCTGGTATAACACAGACCATAGAACTTCCCCAAAACTTTTTCAGAGTCGCTGCTTCTCAAGAGAGAGTCCCCCATTTTGTAAGTATGGCCTACATCCTTTGTTCCTAGGTGTATACGTTTACATTTTGCCATATTAAAAACATATTGTTTGCTTGCACCCAGCTTACAAGTGATCCAGATAGCTCTGTATCAGTGACCTGACCTGTATGATTTCCAAATTACTCAGTTTGCGTGTCATCTGCAAACTGACGAAGTGAGGGAAAAGGTCGAATTTGATAACTCCTGAAAGAGAGAGAAATAAAATTGTCTAAAGCCATGCATGGTGCTCCTGCAAGACAACATGCAACCTTCTTTGTAACACTTTTCGTTAGATCTTAAGGCCAGAAGGAACCATTGTTATCTAGTCTGACCTCCTGTATAAAACAGGCCAAAAAACCTCACCCAGTAACCTCTGCATCAGCCTCTACTTGAGCTACATCCTAGCTTTAAGAAAGATAGAAATCAAGACTGGATAAGTTTAAGTGAAAGAAAATCCAACCATTTCCTTCAGTAATTTATTCCAAGGGCAAATTACCCTCAGTGTTAAAAATTTGTGCCTTATTTCCTGTCCAAGTTTGTCTAGCTTCAATTTCCAACCTTTAGATCTCATTATTCCTTTTCTGCTAGATTAAAAAGTCATCTAATATCAGAAACCCCTTCCCCATGTAGGTACTTGTACACTGTGATCAAGTCATCTCTCATCTTGGATAAACTAATACATTGAGCTTCATAACTCTCTCACTACTTGTTTTTATTCTTTCTGCTCTTTACTGAAGACTTTCCGAAGTGTGGATGCCCGAGTTGGACACAGTATTCCAGGAATGGCCTCCTAATGCCGTATACAGAGGTAATGCCACCTTTCTACTCTATTTGATATTCCTCTGCTTATAGAATTGTGTGTCCAACACACTCCAAGGTCATGTTCAACTGGTTATCAACCATGACCCCTATGTTCTTTTCAATGTCATTGCATTGAAAGATAGTGTCTCCCATCTTATAACTGCAATCTACATTCTTTGTCCCTAGATGTACGACTTTCCATTTGGATGCATTAAAATAGGTCATTCATCTACTAACCAATCTAAGTCAACCTGTAAAACTGGTAAAACATAGTTTACCACCCCTCCAATTTGTGTGTCAACTTTGTTTTTCCAGTAATGATTTTATATTTTTGGTCCAGATTATTGATTAAAATAGTGAATTACATTAGGCCAAGAACAGATCCTGTGGGATCTCACTAGAATCAATTTCATTGGATGATTCCCCATTAAAAATTACTTTTTGAGATCTATCAGTTAACCAGTGTTTAATGTGGGCTACACTGATTTTGTATATACTTTTTTTAAAGCAAGTTATGTATCTATTCTTTGAATACCTATAGGGTAACTGTATAGTAAAGAGTATTAGTAATTTATGGTATGAATGTGTTAATACAGCATTAAATAAAAACACAATTACAAAAAGTTCTATAAAACGCAATGTTAAATACAATACAAAGTTTATTAAAAATAGGTTGCAAGTGAAATACAGTAGAAATGGGAAACTACAGCAGTTTTCATGTTTTTCCATAATAATGCACAGACAAATATGAAAAGCACTTTTACACATATTCACACTTGACCCAAATGCCCAATAGCGGCCAAATCCACTCAACTGAAGGTTCTATGTATTTTTTTGCTAAGCCTTTTCAGATTCTAGCAGCAACAGTATTCCAGCCACAGCCTAAATTTTTTTTCTGAAGAAAAGAGTATTTTGTCACTGTAAGGCTGCTAGTGTTCTCAAGATAAATTGGGAGAGGCTTGCTTTTCCTGATTAACAGACACAGCAAGCATGCAAATCCTTCATTAACACTTTGAACCGGTTTAATCTCCTACTTCATATTTAACAGGTGAAACGGTAAAAGCACACTTTCAAATAAGAAACCTGAAATATGTAAAAAACAAATATTTACACTCCAATTTTCATTAACTTGCATTTATTTATCATACAACTCTTATTAAAAGTGATTTCTTTTCTAAGGCAGTGAAAGTCTACCCCTCTGTATTTGGAAGTGTGCATAATTCCCTAAATATATATTTATAAGAGAACAATATGATACAGAAAAATCATCTAAAGCCCAATTTAGGGCTTTGCAAATAGAAAATTTGTTTGGAATCACAATAATATATTTTGTCTTAATGTCACACAAAGAGAAACAAACTCTGATGAGGTCCTTATCCCCAACATCAGCCATATATGCATAGCTGAAGAAACAACAGTGGAAGGAACAAAAAGAATTCAACAATTCAAAATTAAATAAGGCTATCAATATGTAAAAATAGCTTGAACTGCTGAGAAGATTCTCTACAGTATATAACAATATAAGAGGATGCAAGTAAAACCAGATAGATGAAGGACAGCTTGACTAGCACTACTTTCTCAATATTAATAATGGTGGTGTGCTGTCAGGATAATAAGTCAACCCATCTCACTGACATTCATATTCACAGCCAGCAACATCGTATTTGATATTTCAAACATCAGTCTTACTGTATGCTATACCATTTTTCTTCTCCAACAGTAGTATGTAGCTCCGCTGCTATAACAAACTCCATCAATGATGCGCCGTGGCTAGTTGCTTATACTCCCTATTCTACCTCCTTGGAAAATGCATGCCTTAGTTCTGCTAGCTTTGGACCTGGAATCATTACTTCCATCTTGAACATTTAACATTTTGGTCCTAGCTATGATAGGGCCACTAAGGTAGCCTATTATCTATTGCTTGTTATATTCTGTTATTTCAATACAGTGTTAAACAAAACAAAACCCCAAGGTTTTTCATCTCCAGTTTTGTTCTTGTTTTTTTAAAAGGAGGTTTGTAAACCAGACACGTCATTTACAAGAGGGATGTATGCATGTATATGCTTTTCCATGGTTATGGATTAAACAGTTTCTGTTATGCATCCATTTTAGACCCAAACAAAACACCTATAGGATTAAAACTGTTTCACTCAAAGACTTTATCCAGGCAAACCCTTTTACTCTAATGCTAGGTAATGATAAGAGGTTTGTACTGATATGCTAATAGTCTGTATGAACAGCATACAATGTGTCGAACTTGTATATATAAACGTAGACCTTTGTAAAACAGCCCAGAGACTGGCTTCTGTCTCAAACAACCTATAGATATCATCAGCTAGTGCACAGATTAATTTAGGCAGTTCAAACTATTCTCACTCGCTCTGCTCAGCAGCTAAAACAAAGTATGTCTGTAAAAGACCAGGAAACAGAACTTATCTTTGACAAGTGCTACTTGGTCTATTGCAGAAAAAGTTAACCCCCAAAACAAAAGAAAAAAGTGACCTTCATGTGATTCATATAATTAAAATTTTACAGTGCTTTAATTGTATAAACCACAAGCTCTTGGTAAAGTAATCAGTATTCTTGCTATTGCAACATCTCTAAATCTCAATTAACAGTCTTAGATTCCTCTGTATCGAACTCACTCTTTCACAGACAATACAGTCTCGCCTTGAACAGCCCCATCCCATGCCCTTATTTTAGGGATCTTTCAGTAACATTTGATAAGGTGCTTTTATCTTATTTTGTGTTCAACTCATTTTCCAGTTCCATTAATTTCCTAGAAGCCTTTACTTTAGTCGATACATCCTGGCCCTGGGAAAAAAGTCGCTGGCGCTCCCTGAATGTCAAGTTCTCTGGTGCTCCAGGTAAATCTGTGTCTTGACTGGAAGAAACAAAAGGTTTGTTACAAAACCTAATTTTAAACATCCTTTTATATAAAAGCTTTGCATCCATATAATCTTATCTGGTGTCCTCTTGCCTTCTAACTGGAAGATCTAGATTCAAGTCCTGCAAGGCTCTTTCTTAATGCTGACACCTCAGGGCTGTCATTCAGAGGAACCATTAAACAGAAGTCATGTATGACCATCTCTGGTAGCGGAACATGTGGATGAGATTACCTGGCACTTCTCAAAAAGGATTAAAGGGTGACTAAGGCCAGAAAAGGTTTGCTGATATAGCTATACTGGCATGCCCTCCTTATATAAATCAAAAAAGTTGTTTTGTAAGTATAGTTCATACTGATTTTGAGAGTGAAATAAAACTGGATAAAAGTGCTTTGGCAACTTTGGTCAACCATGCAACAAATCAAATGTTAAAAAAAAAAAAAAAAAAAAATCAACCGCCTAGCTCAGAGGTCTCCAAACTTTGTGAGACGAGGGCCATATTAGATTTTTGAAGGGGCTTCGCGGGCCGAAGCGACTGTGAAAGAAATTAAATTATGCAAATATATACAAAATCATTAAAAAACAACACTACTCTGTGTCAGTTTTGTATTAAATTCTAAATCAGGTATAAAAGTTAATCAACGCAGGTACTGTAAGTTGGCTCCCCTTTTTGGGTCTGCTCTTCCCCGTGCCTGCTCCCTTCTCCCTGTGCCTGCTAGGTGTGCCTGCCCTGCTGAAGAAAATGACAAAGGACTGAAATTTTGGCTGTACTTTGGTAAGAGAAGCTCTAAGTTCCCACTGTTGGTTGGGACTGTTTGGTTCTATTAGTGCTGTAGTTAAAATTTAACCATTATGAAATTGGAAATTTCCATCTTCTTTACTCCATTTATTGGAGTTGTAATTAAGCATCTGGCTTGTATTTTTAATCTAAGGCAGGGGTCTGTGCCTGCTTGGCTGCAGCAGCAACTCTCCCCTGAGTTGGCTCCCCTTTTGGGGGGGGACACTGGCTCCCGGGGGCACTCACCCCTCCACACAGCTCAGCTACCCCCCCGTGCCCACCTGTGCGAACTGCTGCCAGCAGCCCCTCTCCCTGTCTGCTCGGCATGCCTACTCAGCTGTTCGCTTCTCCCCTGTTGGTTGGAGGGCCGGACAAATGGAAGCCCTAAGCCGAATCTGGTCTGTAGTTTGGAGACCGCTGGCCTAGCTGATATTGCTATACTGACAGAGTTTCTAGTGTAGAGTGGTCTAAGTACTTCTGCTGCCTCCTCCTTCATCCTTGCTGCTATCTACCTCTCTGGTTAACTATTTTTGCCACACCAAGAAAGAACTCAGTTCTCGGTGTCTCCTTGTCTCACCACCTGAGATGTCTGGAACTCTGGCCCTTACCCAGTCAGACTTGGCTCCACTTAAGGCTCATCAGAGTGAACTCTATTCTGTGAACTGTACAAAGTGCACAGTGGCCATCACACCACCATTTCACTTTACAAGGTGTGCAGGAACCAAGTTAAAGGCTCCTGTAGTATCCTTGCCTCAGCCAATGTGAGCCTTCAATACACTATGCAGCTAAATTAGCCACACATGCATGTGCAATGCAGTCTTTGTTAGCTGTCCACTTCACAAGCTTAGTAAAAACTCCATATAAAGTGTACTGTGCTTGCCTCCTCGTGCGTGCAAATTTATGAGTCTGGTTGAGGTAGTCAAAAAAAGAATCTTGTGATGACTGCTCTGTTTACTCACACAATCACAACACTAATTGGCTTTAAAATACCACATGCATGAAAAAGCGTATAAAACCAAATTCTATTTTGTGATAATCCAAGATATCCCAGAACCAACTGTAAAACTGTTTTATGCTGTCCTGCATATTCTTAGCGCTCTCTTTGAAAATATTTTCTAGGATTAAATAAAAGCTTTTGAATTTCATTACCGAGAAAGATTTACAGAGATACATGTATAAAATGGTATTATAAGAATTTAAAATATTCCAGAGACCAGCAGCTAGTTAGTCTGAATACAGATTAATATTTCATGAGTCTCGTCTTCATTTCACCTTTTAGATCTCTTCTCTCTTGGATCCCGATAAACTTCATGGGCTCCAACAATTGCTCCTGTAGATCCAGTG